TTGGAAGGTATGAAAATAAAACAATATACATATTTTTTTAATTTTATTTTCAAGGTGAGATATTAAAAATTAATAATTTTTTTAAATCTTTTTTTTTTTAATTATAATTGAAAATAATTACAATTTATTTTATCATTCAATTTCAATTTAACTTTATCATTTTTCATGTTTTAAATATATATTTTAATGAATTATTTATGTATATCGCATGTTAAAAATATTATTGTTAGTCATGCAAAGTTGGGAGCATGTTAATGTTGCAATATTGTATAGTATTTGTAATTTCTGGTTTATGAATGGTTTTTGGTGTGTATGTGTTATTTTACAATGATAATAATCATATAGTGCTTTCGCAATATAAATATTATAATATGCAATAATAAATTTAAAATAAATTTTTTACCATTAGAATAAAATTAAATTTTTTTAATAACATTAATTATTTTTTATTTTATTTTATTTTAATTATATTATTTATTGTTTAAAATATTCATTTTAATTATATTCATATCATCATTTTATCATTTTACATGACATATATATATATATATGATATTATTATTTATTTATAGTAATAATATATTTATATTTATAAACAAAAGATTTATAAAAACTTCTGTTCTTTTATATATTATTTTCATAATATTATCATATTGACACAGGCTGTGATCTACTCATGCATAATGCAGAATATTATGGTGTTTCTTTGGGATAGGGATGTATTAACCATCCCTTATGATGACTTTCTTGGCAGGTAGTAGATTTATTAATAGTATAATATTTAATAGTATAACAAAAATTGAAAATTTCAATTAACAGAAATTGTCTTAATATTTAAATCTTACCTGCCATTAATATATAATTTTTTAATTAATTTATATAATAATAATTTATAAATTTATTCAATTTTATAACTATGCTATAATTGACTTATAATATGTGCCATATATATATATTTGTTGTTATGCTTATTTTTATAAAGTATTTTAATTATATAATAATATTTGTGATTTGTATTAATCAAAATATTTTTTTACTATAATTATTAAAAATCATTCTATTTAATTATTATATCATTATATTATTTATTTTTCATTTTATATTTGGTAGTATGATATGAATTATTTTCCTGATTTATTGATTATTATATGATATGCTAGTATTTTTTCATTACACTTTTTATTTCAATAAATTTAATATCATGTGTTAATTAATCTTATAGTAATGAAATAATAGTAATAATAATTAAGTATCTTAAAATTTGTTTTTAATTCTAATTTTATTAATTTTATGAGAGTGATTAGGTGACTGAATAAAAAAAAAAAAAACTAAATTAGATTATATGATGACAGTTTATAGTGGAAAAGAGCTTGGGAGCCTATTACAACACAGTGGTTGCCCACCTTTTTGACAAAGACAACGCTGGTCAAGATGATCCACTTGGCAGGTATTGCTACTTGTAGCAAGCACTGTATTCCAGGCAAATATAGTATGCATTTGAAAATTTGAATATATGTTAGATTAGTAGGATGTTTCATATTTTTAAAAATATTCTACTGCTATTATGATGCATGTTATTGAAGAAAATTGTTTAAAAATCATGATAAACAATCATGATATATTATAAGAATATTATAAAATGTAAAATTATAATAGAATGACAATTTATGTCACCATATTACTCTTTTTATCTTATTGTTAATTATATAATATATTTTAATATATTTTTAAAAATTATTTAAAAAATAAAATATTATAAGATGCTTATATGAATGTATACATTATAAATGTATACATAATGTGATGTATATATAATGAATGTATATATAACATAAACGAATGTATCGCTTATGTATTTGTAAAAAGAATGTCAAAGATTATAATATATTGCTGATATTGCATGATTGCTTTATATGCATGAAATTTCATACATCATGGATTTCAATGTACTGATCATCAAGCATATTCTTATAATTATCATTTCAAATAATATAATGACTACTATAATTTTTTATATTTCAAATAGTTCATATAAAGTATCATATAAAGATTCATATAAAGTACTATATAGTACTATATAAAGGTATATTATATAAATATATTTATTTTCTTTTCTTACATTAACATAGGGCTACTATTGAAGTTAGTAGAGTGAAAAAGAAAGGAAATATTGATACAGTAAGTATAAAAGTATTATAACAATAATAAATTTTTAATATATATATATATATATAATGTACATAATACATATGTTATTTTTTAGTGGATTTCATTGGAACAAGCAAAACATGGCATGATTCATTTACGATTAACATGGTTTCAACTATCAAAAAATATTGTTGATTTAAAAGCTGTATGTAATTTTAATAGAATTTAAATATTTATTTAATATTTATTATTAAATTTTGTAATAATTTTGTATTTTTGTAATTACATATAGGCTTTAGTGGAAACTCAAGAACTTAGAGTAACATCAATGAGTACTGCTCTTCTTATACTTTATATTGATTCAGCAAAAAATTTACCAGTAAGTATATTGATTAATTTAAATTAACAATTAATTTTTTAAAAAATTAAAATTTTTATAAAAAAAATGAATTGTTATTATTGAATTATAGTGTGTTCGAGGAAATAAACAGCCTGATGTTTATCTTGAAGCAAGTATTGGTGGAAATACAAAAAGAACAGCTACTATGTTACGTTCTTGTGATCCAGTATGGGAACAAGGTTTCACTTTTTTAGTTAGCAATCCAGAAACTGGTATTTTACATATAAAGGTTATACATATTTTTAAGTCTTGTTTTATTTATCAAATTTTCATACTAAGCATTTATATTAATTTTTAGATTACAGATGAAAAAACTAATCTTATAGTGGGTGAAATGAATTACAATATTTCTTTACTTTTAACACAAAATAATCTTGAAATTTCACAACAGCCTTATGATTTGCAAATGGCTGAAGTTGATAGCAAATTAATATTATCTATGTCATTAAGTGTATGAAATTATATTAAACTTTTTATACATTTTTTATAAATAATAAATATATCTGTATATTTATGGATTTAATTTCAATGTAGATTTTAAAATATGAGGAACCTGAATCTACTTCTGAAGAAGATGATGATGATCATGATATCAACCAACTAAAGAAAAAAATCGAACGTCAAGAATCAAATATTAGTAATACATTATCAACTAGTCGTAAGTTCATCATTTTAATAATTTTTTTTATATTCAATAAAACATAATATATTTTTTTTAGTTCCTTCTTCTCCATTGAAAAGACAATCGTCAAAAGATTCAGTTAATAGTTTAACACCGAGTATTGAATCTGGTACTGTAATTATACCTGAAGAACTAGGTACAGCAGAAGAGGAATTAATTGTTGTTACTTCTGCTCCATCCTCTGTTACTGAAAATGCACAGTTAATTCATAGAAATCCAAATATGACATCATCCGTAGGTGATGCTAAACTAGGTCGGATACAATTGTCTTTACGTTATAGCGTACAAAGACAGAAATTTATAATTGTCGTACACAAAATAGCGTATGTAATTTATCAATGTGAAATTTAATTCAACAACATGAAATTTAATAGATGGTTTTTTATTTATAGTGATTAGATTAATAATTTTTTCATTATTACAGTAATTTACCTCTGCCACAAAATGATCCGCATAACATACCAGATCCATATGTAAAACTATATCTTCTTCCTGATCGTCATAAGGAAACCAAACGTAAAACAGCAGTAATGAAGGATAATTGTAATCCAATATTCGATGAACAATTTGAATATGTTGTTTCTCAAGCTGATTTAAATAGTCGTATACTGGAAGTGTCTGTATGTACACAAAAAGGTTGGTTATCGACCGGAAGTAACGTAATGGGTCAAGTTCATATAAATTTGAATGAAATTGATGTTACAAAATCATTCACGAGCTGGTACGATTTACAACCAGAGACTAAGGACTAGAAGTTTAAGAAAAGCAAGTGGAGATTTGACCAATTGTTTATATGTTTTCGAAGACAATCTGTTGAATTTCCACAATGCGATTTTTCAAAACGCTAATATTTATAATTATATAGTTACATCAAATTCTATGCATTATTCAAATTTTAAAAAAATTTGGATTAAAACAATTAAACAATATGAATTTTGAGAAACTGTCAATGAATATGTTTATCTGTTTATACTTGGACCGTCCATTGGTATAAAACTAATTTTATATCTATTTTGCACATTATTTTATGTCATCTATGCTTATAGAATAGTTTCATCAAAAGTAAATACTATTAAAATATTTTATTGCTATAATACATAATATTATATGCTATAATTTCATGCATAATAATACCATTACGTGCATTATGTGACACTTAATTTATTTATTTAGTATTTGATTTGAAAATTTTTGGTTTTTAAATAAACATTTATTTTGTTTTTAATTTGCTTAATATTTTTCTTAATTTGTTGCTTTATTTACTATTTGTTATTATTATAGCATTTATATAATTTAAATAACAAATTAATTACCAATTAATATTATAATCTTCATATTATACATTAAAAAACTAATAATAAAGCAGTATCATTAAAGATGATTGTTAGCGTAAGTTATTAAATCAAATTATAGATAATATATATATATGTTATATTTATACCAAAGTTTTTGCTATATTATATATTGCTATATATTATATAAATTTATGTTTATGCGAATACTGGTATAAAATATTACCAGTATAATATTGTAAATTGTTGATGATAATAAAATATAAATATATGCATTAAATTTGTAATATTTCATGATTCATCATTCTCCTCGTGAAATTGACCGAAATTTATATCTCCAAGGAAACACGACAATAGTAAATAATAGTAACTCATATTCTTACATCAATACCAGATACGTAAAGTGATTTCATACAGTGATTATCAATTGTTCAAACGAATTATATTTAATGAATTAATTCGGTTTTTCGGTTGTAAAATGCAGCAAAATGCACAACTTCCATGTCTTCCAGGATTTAATTTCGATACAAACGTAAGTCATTTTTCAAATCTTATATTTTATGTTTAATTAACCAATACGTATATATTAATATATTAACATTATATTAACGTAGTAAGAAATGAATATTGAGAGAATAAGTGAGAATAAAATATTTATAATATTTAAAATAGATTAATCAAAAAGAAACATAAAATAAGAATTGTAATGTAAAAATTAATAATGAAATAGAAAGAAAATAAAATAGAAATAAATATTAATATTTATTGCTATTTATTATTTTATAATAATTAATATTTATTATTTTGTTTAGATTGGTCGAACAAACTTTTGTAGAAATCAATTTTTCACTAAGATTCATGATGGAATTTATTATTTATCAGAAAAGTTTGATAAAACTGATCCTATTCATTTTCCATCGATTTATGCTCGTGGAGAAGCTCATGAATTACCTCCTTGGATTGCCTATGATGGCCAAGTATAATAATTTACAATAATTTATAAGAATAATTAATATTGATAATATGCAATAATTAATACGAATTGATTAAAAGTTAATTATAAATTAACTAAATATATCTATAGGAAAACTTTTAATAAGGTTCAATGTATTTTTTAGAGGTTGATGTTTAAAGCATTTTTTCAAGAATCGGTTCATGAAAGAAACACAGCTTATCAAGTACGCGTAGTGAATATTAGTTTCTTTTTGGAGGATGGAACAATGAAAATTTCTGAACCTTCCGTGATTAATAGTGGTCTTGAGCAAGGTTTAACGGTGCATTTTCTTCAGTATTTTTTGTTGCTATATTTTTATTAATATTTTTTTTAGTTATTTTGTAAATGATTTAATAACTTTTGCGAGATATTTGTTTTATTTATTATTTTTCTCATTATTCTTATTATTGGATTTCTTCTAAGCATAATAACATTTTATATGAAAATTTATAATTTATTTTTTTGCATAAAAAATTATTTCACTTAATTATATAATATATAAATACAATTAAATTATATAATTTTTTTGTTATAAATAACATTTCATATTAAAAAATAAAACATATATATATAGGTATTTTATTAAGAAGACAGAGAATTCCAATGCCTGATCCAGTAAGATATAGATTCTACGATATTATTGATTTAAATATCGGTAAAGAACCGGAAATTTATGGAAGAGTATATAAAATTGTAGACTGCGATAAATTTACAAGACAATTTTTAAATCGTATGGGAATCCCAGTTCCAGATCCTATAGAAATACCAAAAGATCCCCATATGGAACTTCACAAACAGGCAAGTTATATAATTAAAAGTACAATCATAAAATATATTACAGTTATGATTATACAATTAATGAAATAATTGATTTAAAACAGGAAAGATTTCCAAAGAATCCAAAGCGGACGATTGATACTCTCGGCGATTTTTTAAAATATGATAGACAAGTACTTCGATTTTATGGTTATTGGGATGACACGGATAGTCTTTATGGCATTGTCCATGATCTTGAAATTCATTATTTTCTTTGCGACAACACAATGGAGATTAAAGAGAATGTGCCAGAGAATTCTGGACGAGATACCGGTCTTATGTTTCTGCGACGTATGAAAGTGCCTAAAGTAAGAATTCGTATTTCCTAAAAAGATGTGTACGTAAATCGTTATCCTTAAGTCACAGTACTTCATTATCCTAGAACAAAATGATGAACGAATTACATTTGCAAGATAATAAATTAATCTCTAAAATAAAAAAAAAAATAAATAAAATTAATTTTCTTAAAATATTTTCATTTATTTATAAATTTAATTTGATGAAGTTCTTAAGTAATTTAAAAAAATTAAGAAAATTGGAATTTGACAGTTTTTTAGTGAACTTGATCCAATTGGAACGAGTGATCTTTTCTCTGTTCTGAATGTGTTGGGAGAGGACATGATTCATGGTTACTACACGATAGATTCATTGAACACTGGAAAAGTTAATAAAGAGTATTATAAAGAAAATGAGCTTAGTATCGGTGCAAAAATAAATATTTTTGGTAAAAAAATTATTATAACAGATATGGATGCTTTTACGAAGGAATTCTACAGGTAAAAAAAAAAATATAAAAAGAATATTTGAGGATTAATTTATTATCAATAAATTGATAAATTAATTATTTACAAGATAGAATAAATTGAAAATATAATATATATATATGTTTTCTTTATATTGTTCTAAAGGAAAAAATATGGTTTGAACGAATTTACACCAATGGAAAGACCTCGAAAACGTGATGAGATTTGCATAAAAATGGAAAAATATATTCCACCTTACAATGGTTTCGGCACTTACGAAGATTCTCTCGGAAATTGTTTTGCTATGATACCGCAACCACCGAAAAAAGATATCACTAAATTTTTGCATTACGATAAGTAAGTGTATTCAGAAGCGTAATTGCAAAACAAAATTAAATAAAATATATTTTATAACTTTTTCCTATATATCTCTTTTTCGTAGAGAGGGTTTTAACAGTCACGTTTTAAGATTCAGAGCAAAAATGATATCGAATATACCAGAAAACGAAGATAGAATATTTATTGTAAGGGTTTTCCTTATGGATGATACGATTTCTATCTATGAATTGGCGAAAAGAAATTCAGGTAAACGTTTCTTTCCTTATTATTATTAATCCAATATCATTATTGAATTCTTAACATTACAGCCACAAAAATTGGATCAATTATTTTAATCTCTGCCTAATCTCTTATACGGGGAAAAAGGGATCGCGGTTTATTTAAATATTACAAAATTACTAATACTGTCCTAGAATATTTCTTTATCAATTTTATGCGTTTTTCGTGAAATTTATAGGTTTTACGCGATGCGAGTTCCAGAAGAGGATGCCAATAATGTTGCCTAATCAAGAGATATTTGTAAGCAAGAAACCGGATTATTACAAGCCTGAAGATTTCTATATTGGAGCACGTCTTAACTTGAACAATTTTATCTTCGAAATGATCTCTGCTGACATTTATGCTCTTCGTTACATGGAGTTACATTGCGATAAGGTTCAATAATTTATACCACGTTTCACTGTTTTTACTGTTCCTACAGTTTTGAGCTTTAAAACGCGCGATTAAACGTTCCCTTACAAATTCGACGCTGATAAGTCGTTGAAATATAAACGTTTCTCTTACGATTTTTTTTTCTTTTTCTTTTTTCCAGTTTCCAAAAGCTAACGCAAAATTAATCCTAGAAAAGATACGGGCAGCGTTGAAACCAGTTTATAAGGAATTTATACAACTTTATACAACAGAGAAATTAAACGATGAGGATCAAATATTGCCATACGAAAAACTCAGGTATTTTAAGTCTCGAATTGATTGCTCGAATTATTGGTTAATTATTTTTAAAATAATATTCTACTAATTTTTTCCCAGAGAAATCTTGCTTCAATATTTAAAAGATGATATAACGGAACACGAAATAATTACAATTGCTCGACATTACTCGTCTCACGAGAAGAAAGAATTTCATACTCGGGAATTCATAAGGTAAACCAATTGAAATATGTTAAAAATAGCGATATAAAATTCCTTAAATATTTTAGGAATATCGATAATTTTCCTTCTTTCAGACAATTAATACATACAGAGGTTATACGAACCTTGTGGAACGATCTCGATCGTTTGGAAGAAGATTTACATAATTGTGACAGAGGAAGAACAGGATTTTTATCACGTGATAGAATATATATTACTCTTCGTGGTTGCAAGGTTCCAATTGACGTAGAACTTTTAAATTCTATGCTTGACCAGTATGTATAGATTATTAAATATTAAATATTAAAATTTTCATTCCTATTTATTATACGTACTTGTAATAATTTGAACAATAAATGACATTATTATTTTTTTTTTAATAATAATACAGCATTCATACGAACGAGAATGGGAAATTGGATTATAATGATATGCTTAGATTTATGAATGTAAAAGTAGATCCTCTTCCTCCGGCTCTACCGATAAACATCAAGGTATTTTTATTCCTTTTATTTTTATTGCTGTTTAACGTTAAATATTATATATATATTTATGCATTATTTTTAAAGAAATAATATGAAAAAATTATTATTTATTGTGTATAAATTTGTTATATATTTTTTAGTCGGCTCTCTGGTGGGCATCGGAAAAGCAACCGGATTGTGGGACTGGTATATTATGGTGTGCACTTATAAAAGATTTAGATATCAAAATAGAAGAAACGGATGAAACGAATGAAACGGAAAAACCGAAAGAAATAGAAAATATACGATAGATCAAATGATATTTTTATACGATAGTTTATCATCTATACAAAATTTTACGATCAATAATGATAACGTAATTAAAAAATACACAAAAATTAAAAATTTCTTCAAAGTGTAACATATATTTTTTATCACTTCATTATTGTACTCGATATTTATATCGATAACGATTTTTATAATGAATATATTTTATTACTCACCAATTGCATGTGTCGCAGTTATATATATATATATCGTACAAATCGTAGTATAATAGTCGATAGTTTTGAAGTGAATAAACGTGTGTTTTCTCTATATCAAGTGATGATTTATTATTAGAACATAATTTTTAATACAAACTACGTCGAATTTGGATTTAGCAAATTATTTACATAGCGACTAACCATGCCTTATATCTAACATGCTGTCTATGCTGTCCTCTTTAATTGAAATTTCCTATCTAAATATTNCGACCTTATTTGTAAAAAATGTTAGATAGGATAATTAAACTAAAGAGGGCAATATATCTAACAGTGTTGTCCTTTGTTCTTATCATTATTTTGTTATCAAATATAATCAATGTAATCATTTTTGATCTGATATCTATATCTTTTCAATATTTTGAAAAATGTTGACAACACTATATTATATTTTTATCGAAGATTTATTAATTTTAATAAATAATTGAGATAAATAAGAATTTTTTATTAAGTTCTTTTATCTTTAATATAACGTATTTTTTTTTTCTTTTTTTAATTCAACTTTTTCATCATTGATGATTCATTTTAAGTAATTATATAATTTATCTGTTTGCATCAACGTTTCCCCCTCTCCCCCCTATATAATATCGACGATCTCTAAAAATAACTACAAATACGCGTTCCAACTGGTAATATTTTTTAATCGTTTTAAATTATCACGACAATTAATTGCGCCATATATAAATAAGTATTACTCGTTAAACGCAATGGACAATTTTATCGTTTACGGGGAATACCATATGCGGTGAAAAGCGATGGAAATGAATTTTTGTCGATTCGACGATCAATTTTTTTATTCTAAAATTTCTACGAATCCCCGTTTATTTATTTGCATTCGTACGTTTTCATAACTTTTCTGCACGTTTTACACTTTACGTAACAGCAACTGATATATTTGCAATCGCATCTCTCTAAAACCTCTTCCGTTCTCGTCACATGTCCCCGACTGCAACAAAGATACTCGCAACCTTCGTATCCGGTACTGCTGCCGTTACATTGTCTGAAAGAAAAAAATTTTATCAAATAAGTTATCTCTAAAATATATTACAAGATCAAAATTGACTCCAAGAAAATATTAATAATTAAAAAAATAATTATTACACGATCGATATCGCTTATTACGATCATTACGGTATTTATTACATCGTTAATTATAGGTCAATTAATTGTAATATCACAATATCACTGATAAGAAATCAATTCGTTTTATTATCGTAATAAACGATCATTCAAAATGTACATTAATTAAATTATAAAGGAAACAAATTAATCGTCGAATATTTTTTTTTGTTACTTATAATAGAGAATGATAAAAAAGAATAATAAAAAATAAGTAGAAAATTATTCAATAAACCTTCGAGGATTTCAAATCCTTAAATCCTTATAATCTCTGTATATTAATGCTCGATCTCTGGATCGTTTGGGTGATCCATAAATATTGCGCATCTTACGGCGAATAAAGAGAGAGAGAGATAGAGATAGATAGATAGATAGATAGAGAGAGAGGGGGGGGGGGAAGGAGAAAAGTCTCTCGGAAGTTTGTCCTCGCGCATGTTACGACGCGCATTTTACACACAGGTGTAGTGTCAAGAAAAAACGATTTCGAAAAGTATACGGTGAAATTGCCGAGGGCGTAATAAACATTCACCACGCCTACTTTGTATAATTATACGGAGGGTTATAATTACCGGTTGTAACCTGTAATTGGTAGGGACCAGTCAGTGGTGCCCAAAGGAAACTTGGTACCATATATTTACCGACGGAAATAAAATATTAACGTGTCCAAAACTAGCATCCGATTAGCCTTACGAATTGACTTACCAGTTGACTTCATCCATTAGACATTTTCTGATCGAAAATTATTGGAAAAAAAAAAAAAAAAAAAAAAAAAAAAAATTCAACTTTCTTTTCGCGCGAGAGATAAAATAAATAGCACTCGAAACACTCGAAATGAAGTATCTATTTACACGTAATTAACAGACTATGAAACTGGTAGAATGTATTTCTTAAATGAATCGATCGTGTATCCTATTATACTCTTATCTTTATTAACATTTATATCTATTTTTATATTTGTTTAAGAACTGCTTGATAAAGAATTGCTATTTTATATACGTCTGTTATATATACATATATATTTTCTTTTTTTATTGGAATGGCTGTTTGTTATCGCTACGTTCTATTTATACCAGGATATCGAGATCATTTTTATTTCTGTGCCGCCTCATTCCACTGCACTAATGATAACGATCGATCGTTGTCAGATGCAACGGAAATGACATTAATTTTTGCCTAATAGTACGGATGGTGATTCGAGGAGTGATTTATAGGGTTGGCCAAATGAAACAAAGAGCCAGGAGGGTTTCGCCGCGATCTTTCTGCATCTTCCTTCTAGAACCGGTCACCGTGTCCCGGAATACCGTGGATGATCTTAATTCACAAACATCGAGGCGTGAATAATTCAGAGCGACGAAGATTCCTCCTTTCGCCTTGCCGCCGGAAAAACCGTAGCGAATGCAATCAACAAAGAAAGAAACATCTTTATTTCCTTTATTTTGTTCCCGCTCGTGTTAATAGTGATTGTTACCTGAATAAACCTTCTCCTATTACGTAGAACCCTTGGGATATCTCTCGTTAGGAATTAACGAGATATATGTTTCGATATATATATATATATTTTTTTTTTATGTCGAAATAAATGTTATATAGTGTTTGATCATCGAATTAGAAAATCGTTAAAAATGTTTTTTTTCTTTAAAAAGAAAAAAAAAATTGAAAGATGGAAAATTAAATTACGAATAAACAATCGAGTCGTAAACACTCGTTGAATTGATTAAATATTGAAAAAAGGATTTAATAAATATTTTGAATACTAATAATACACTTAAAATATTCAATTTTAAAAGAATCCACAGGGGATCCTGGTGGCCCTGCTAAGATCTTCACTATTCAATTTCAGAAATTCTATCTTCGATGTCGTCATAACAAATGCGTCATGCTTATACCATTTGAATAGTCAAATTCTGAGTAAAACGAAAGAAATTTCATAGCTTGTGCCAAGCTATATGGTAGAATCGTTAAAATATCGTAAAATACAAGATTTATTCGAGAACAGGTTTCCTGATCGGTTGGAAAAATGTGAGGTTCCGCCCTATCTCGAAGGTCTTCTCTCATAGGTAATTATCGGACGCAGTCGTATAAATAAGCGAGTATCTCGCTACGCGGACGATAACTAAGATCGAGGTGTAGGAATTCGTTGTGTGTGGCTATTATAGAAAATGGAACAAGTCGAAGAATCGAGTGGATCTACAGAATGGAAATAGGTATTTTATTAGCGCGAGATAACGATTAGTTGATCAGAGACAGAGACAGGAATAAATGTATGTGTACACTGTGATCACCTCGAATTGCGGATCGTAAACCGTCCTGAAATATCACGTGTGCGATATCTGCATTATGCATCGACTAGATACCTGTCCATTTTTTTCTCGCGTTTAAGCGATTTTATTTTACGTAATGAAAAGCGGATGATGGCTATGCGAAACGTCCTCTCATATTTCTGAAAATATCTGATCGAAGTAAAAAAAAAAAAAAAAAAAAAAAAAAAAATGTCTTACGAATCATAAAATCATGAAATGTTAAGCGTTAAGAATCCTTCTTTTAGTTTGAAAAATAATTTTCTTCAAATTTTTCATACAAATAAAAATATTTTTCAATATTATTATTACAATTATTATATTATTTCAATATTATATTACATATATTAAAGAAGAAATATGTTAAAGGATATTATAATAAAGTTATCTGCGAAATTCATTAAAAAGAAAAAAAAAAATCATTTTCAAAAATCATAGCATTTTTTAGCGTTATAAAATTTTATTACAATTTGGTATTAAAGTAAGAAAAAGTAAAAGTAATCAGGGACACAAATGTATACTCCGGTGAAACGTATTCAAGCGAGTCTTATGAAAGATTCATCGATCGAGTGCGCGGTAAAAAGGGAACGAACTTCGATGATTGGCGACAAAAGAAAGAATCTTGGTCAAAGGTTCATGAACTTTCGATTACCAAAATGCTGCGCAATTCCATTTTTTTTTCCTCTCGTTTTATGTTCCTCTTTATGAAACTGTTTCGCTATGTTCTCATTTTTTTTTTTTTTTTTTTTTTTAATTAAAAAGAAATTATATTCCTTTATCTCTTTCAATTGTAATCCACCATGCTGTTGTATGAAACGATTTTAATGCATATTTTAAATACATTATATACTTCATCAGATTATATTACCAGTTATGAATAAATATGTATGCTACTAAATTTAGCGATGGAATATGTTCTGCAATATTGTACGTCATCCATTCTAGATGTCACTTATATATTCAAAACTTCTGCAAGTGTCATCCATTTTTCTTCTTTTAAGTTAACAATCACGAACATTATTATGGATAAAATAAAAAATAAATAAGAAAGGTATTAATATAAATTTGTCATACAATTACATGTCAACACACGATTATCGATTTTAGATTGTACATGTGTTCTTTATAATATGTATAATATAAATTATACTATAAATTTCTTTGATTTCTAGTTCATAGAATTTACTGGAATTTAAAATATTGAAAGTATTTCATAATATTCTTTATTTTTCTGATGTAAACATATTATGTTATAAATTTTATAAAATGTTATAAAACTAGTTCTTAGTAAAATCTTTGATAAATTGAACTAGTATAATTAATTCCATTCACCTATCTATGAGATGCTTGTTTTACATGTTCTTTGCTAACGAATCGAATAAAGTCTCTGACGAATGTAAGGCGATAACATCTGACTACATTAAAAGGATAAGAAAATCAATGACAAGGTATTCGTATTAAAATTTGAAATCATTTTAAACCAAAATTATTTGCTGCATAAATATATAAATATAAGTAAATCAAGGACACTGAATTTATTTTTGCTTGATGATAATTATTTCTTTGCTTATTTCTTTAAAATAACGAAACGATCTATCTCCATTCATTTCTATATGTTGTTTAATTCATCCAAAATGTATTTATCTATTTATTTTACTTGTTTAAATGATTCAAAATAATTGTAGACTTTCATTTGAAATAATCGTCATCTGAAATAATTGTAGATATTATTTCTGAATTATATTTCTGTAAAGTTTAGAATTTTTCTGAAATTTCGAATTTGAATTGAATTTTTCTTGGAAGTTATAAATAAGTCAAATGATTGAATAACTAATCTATTTTCTTATTCAAATTAACTCGTATATTCATGTAAATTATGTATTTCTTTTAGTTTATTTATATAACAAAAATTTGCTGAAATTGTTGTAATAATTTTTGACATAATATTTGACAAAGATGCAATTATGCAATTGATTTTTGAAATATATAAAATGATTGCATAAAATATACTTATAATACTGTAAATCCTATAATAATTTTAAAATTTCATACTTTCATTTATTGCGTCAATTTCAGAATTATAAACGTGACAACTAAATAAGAAAAACAGGAGATTCAATAAGTTGAACAGTAAATCTAGTGAACAGTTGAGTCTAAGTGAAATCGCTTGTAGTATAAAAAGAAAAATAAGAACGTGCAACTGTCATATATTAACAAAATAATTACTGTAAACTGTTAGCGTGAAACCGGTTTTACAATGTTAGTTAAAAAAATAAATAAATAAATAAAAATGAAAAATTTACCTGCCAACAGTTCCAAGACTTCCTCTCTTCTTGTCGGGAAGACAATAGTCTGGACTTTTAGTGGTATATAATAGATTATCGTGATGATACAAGGGTGGCAATCTGCCTCCTGATCTTGGTCGTACTTCTGCTGCAGTTGCATATCTTCGAAGCAAACGACTTCCTGCTGCTGCCGGCCCTGAAGAACCAAGCCCTCTCCAACAGGTACGTACACTGCATGATCCAGACACTCCATGACACTTACATTCAAGGGTCAAGGATTGTTCCACTGCCTTATAATGATAAAATGCATAAAGATAAACTTTAATTGACTTGCAAGAAAATAAAAAACAAATTTTGGTGTTTTTGATATAAAAATTACTTTTACATACCACATATTCAGAAATTATACATATAATGCAAATAATATTATATTAAAATTTCGTGCAAACGAAAAAAATATCACTGAAAAGTTGTTTCATTAATATTAATAAATCCCCCTTTTTTTTTTTTATATCAGTACAATTATTTCGATTACCCTTCGACCCGCTCGGTTGTTGTGCATGTTAACAGCGTGCATAAACTTCGCGGTTGCACCTGTGCCTGGAGGCGTTGCGCCTTGGAGAAACCTCTTGGCCATTCTGGACGCCGATCTAACGTCATCGCCGCAACCGCCCCATTTGAAAGAGTTTCTGGCAGACAATGTTCCAAAAGAGACAGATGTCGCAGTGAAAGATGAAGGTGAGATCAAGGCAGAAGGTGATGGAGGCTCCCTTCGTGGTGGTGTGGCACAGGAACATGCTGCAAGACTGCCCAGAGCGCATCCTCTCGCTAACCTCCAAACTGCAGCTGCTGCTGACATTGCATATACGAATGCTTGTTCCCTGGTTCCTATTATAAGAAAACAAAACATTTTTCTTATATTTTTCATTTCATTCTTATTTTTTATTATTGCATTAAGTTAATAAAGTTAATGAAATATAACTTTTTAATTATTTGAATAAAAAAATGAAATTAAACCAAAATATTATCACCTTCGTAACAGACATTGTACAATTTGCTCTCTAAATAATTTTCTTAACAAATTTGCGTCAATTTTATTTTTGTTATGTAAGAATTTGTTACCTAGGCTTTATTGACTAGTAAAATGTCGTGAATCGAAGATCGAAGCGACGATGCCGCGATTTTCTAATAAGAAATCTTCGAAATGGGCAATTAACGAGGTAAGAAGTCGAATCTCTCGAACGGTCCCGAATAAAGTCGGTAATAATATGGTCCGTGGTGCCTTTTAGAGGTCGCATTCATGGTCTCTCTTCTGCTCGTAACCGGTTTGAAATAATTGAAGGAAAGCTGATTAGCATAGCAGTAGCGAAAGGGCGGCTTTTCTGCTCCTCCGATACTTATTGAGGAACCGTGTGTTTTTCATCACCACTCCGAAACTCATGACGAGCTTCTCCGTTTTCTCATTAATGAAGGATATCCTCTTGCCCAGGAACATTTTTATTTATAATATAATTATCGTCAAATGCGAACATTTAATCCGGCATTGCTAGCAAGAGGTAGAAGAAAGAAAAGGAAGCACTGGTTAGATAATGACTACTAATTGAGCCGCTTCTTCAAGGTCTTCCTATTTATTGTGAAATACCTTAAAGAATACTTATTTTAAAGTTATGTCTTTTTTTATATGTATATAACTGCTTTTGTGGTTATCAAAATTAATTGTTTTTCAAATTGAATAATTTTTCAAGACAAATGATTTTTTATTGCAAACAAACATAATAACTTTATATTAAATATTGTGTTAAGTATTGTAGCAAATAAAAAAATATTGAAAAAAATCATGATTTAACTTTCATTTATGTGCATATATATACATATATATATATGTATATATAGGAAGTGAGTTATGACAATGATAGGTAGTATGATTTCTGAATGAAAAAAATTTAATGTTAGAGACATGTTCGTGTCAGTTTGCGAATGTCAGTTGTTCACTTTCTCTGATCTGCTTGTTCATGCATTAATGAAACAAATAAATTACGAAAACTTAATATAACGCTTCGAACTATATCAAATCATTGTCATAATTTATATGTGCAAAGTAATTTATAATAGAAATCATTATATTAATTTATTATGCTGTAATAATATTATATTACATTTAATTCAAAATTCAAAATAATCAGAAACTGAAGAAAAATATATATAAATATATAAATAATAAAATATTTGAATATTTATTTTTTCCATAACCTAAAAAAATATATCTATTATTAACAAGACGATTAATCTTTCTTTCTCATTCCTTTCAATCTTGTTACATATTACACCAATCACACTCTATATTTCAACAAGAAATCTCATCGATATCTATCTATCTATGGTTCAATATCATTTTTCACGTTAATGTCTGACGAAATAGAATCTTAGATGACCCTTGAGGTTAGTCTCATAAAGATCTTCAAGATATTAAATAAAAAATGCATTTCAATATAGAACATACCAGTAAGTAATTCAGGCGTATAATCTGGTGCACGCTCGATGCTACTACAATTCCATCTACGGTGTCGAAATGTTTGCTGACATACTGTTGAAGTATCCCTCGCCGCTTGTACCAAACTCGGCATCACATCTGGCGTGGCTCTGCACGCTCTTGCCTGCTTTCTCTCCAAAAGCCCTGAGTTTTTCGCATTTGTGCAAGCCTCCCTTGTCCATGTATACCCATCTTCGGTACGGCCAAGAGCTCTGGAATTAAATCAATAATGATTTCATCGATACATTTCAACGAAAAAAAAAGAATGATTATTCGTTATATTCTAGTCCAAATTTACTTTTTCTGATATTTTCAAGTTAAGTAAAATAAGTAACTGGTAAAAGCATAGTTGATTAAAGTTTTTAAGAATTTCATATATACTAACCTAATATTATAAAATTATTATTCAAACCCATATTCGTTGCTTAAATGTTTTTATTCACAAACTTTTAAAATCCTTCTATGCTCAAAAAATAATTCTAACTCTCTTCTATTTTTCATTTCTGCAAATAAAAAATTTTATTCTCTTTCGTAAATTTAACCATATTCTCTTTAATTCTTACTCTCGAAAGTCAATTGATAGCAAGATCATGCAATCGATTTAATAAAGATCGATATGAAAGATCCAGTGCGAATAATCGAATAGAAAACTCGAAGATCGTGAAGAATCTTTTCTCGTGGGTAATCGAATCGAAAATCGAAATTTTAAATTGAAAGTTCATTATGGAACGACTTTGATATTGGACGGGTGAATCGTTCATATACAGTTCGGGCAAGAATCGTAAATCAGGGGTGAATTTCGAAAATTATAGGGAATGAAGCTGAAAGGTGGGTTTAAGCGGTGCGGGTGGATACGTGCACCATGGCGCAAACCATATGGAGGATAATTACGGACACCTGAAAGTCGAAATGGTTCAAGCACGGATACGTCTAGACGTAACAGCCCTGGGAATGGTCGGCTCGCCAACCCCGTGTCAGCCTACCCTCGAAATTACCCTATCAAAAGGCCATTCCTCTAATTCATTATTCGCTTGCTGATTGCCGCACCGTGGCGCTGCTGTCGTTTCCAAGATGCCGTGTGCGTCGTTATGTGTTTGTCTCCGTTCATGACGCTCGAAGCACGGGACAATCGTAAATGTTCGCGTTTCCCGTTCCTACAGGATTTATGTTCTCGTTGCCTCCGATATCAACTACTTTTTCTTGTTCGTCTGCAACGCTCGTTTAACACGTTGATTGTCGCGTCATATATAGGGTGTTTCCGAAATCGTGATATAACATTTTTTGGTTATATTAAACGCTTGGTTATATTAATTGTTGTAGAATCAAATTTAGAAATTTTTAATTTATATTTAAATCTCTATGTATTTTAAATATTATTTGTCTTTTTAATACTATACGTTAAAAAGATAGTAAGTGAAATTAATTTGAAAAGGAATTGTTTGATATTTCTACAGAATTACTTATCCACTTACGTGAAAGTGACATATATCATGAAAGAAAGGAAACTCAATTCTTTTTGTCAATGGAAAAAAGAAGCAAATTTATTTTACTTGTTTCAAAACAGATTTGGGAAATACATTTCTACATGGTTCATTATCGATTCATGCATCAAATACGGATATATATAAAAAACTAATTGCATTTTTGCATTGCTCGTCGTTTGCTCAATTTTTCACTATTTTCAAATTTAATCATCAAATTTGTTTCTACAATTACAATTGTGTAATTTATATATATATATTTTTTATTTTATAACTAAAATTATTCCTTTGTTGTAGAATTAAGATAATTTAGTGTATCAAAGAAAAATAAAAAATTAAATGATTGTTTTATTATTTTAACTACTTCTCATGCAATGAATCAGTATCACAGCATATTTTCTTCTCCTTTTTATTTGCATACATAAAATTGCATTGCATTTCATCGGAGACTTGGAAAAAAATAAAAAAAATTACAAATATGACGCGACTAAAACAAATTCAGAAGAAGGCAGATTCAATGTTCTACAAATGACACTTGAAAGATTGGCCGTACAATTATGTAAATTGCTCGTATGAAACATGTTGGTTGATAAGCAATAATTATTTTAATGTAAGTATAAGATTTGCTATGCCTGTTTTCAACTTTTTTCTTTGCAGAATATGATTGACAGATTTAAAACAAATAATTTTCATTTTCTTCACTTCGAACATTCTAGGATATAAAGGATATTTACAATTAATGTTTTTCAATTTCGTTCATGAAAGTTGATAAATTATTCGATGATAGTAAATACTGTGACAGAGACTGTCCGATTTCTGCACTGTTCGCGCCTAGATTTGTTACGAGTTATTATTCACACAGTATATATCATGTCGATAACCATTTCAATTAGCCAATGAAAGCATTTTCGAGGCAATCTCACAGCCAAGATCTTGTTTCGCGAGACCACCTGGTATGCAACAAGTCCGACAACTTGTAGACAGAGTCACGAGTGAAGAATATATCGCCCCCTATCTTATTTGTATACGATCATTATGGATTATATTGATGTATTCAGTACCTTTACGAAAGTCTTGCTCAGTGACATTTGTTACAAAAGGCACACCCTCGATCTTAAATACTGTATTAGCCAATTTATGGAGAAACACAAGGTATCGAATTTATAAAAATTTCTTTTTTATATCATAATCATAAAAAAAAGAATTTATTAAAAAATATATTTAATCTTCTTCGAATAGGAACAAAGCAAAAAAAAATTATTTAATTAATGTTGTAATACATACATAAAGAACTAATATATATATATTATCATATTACCATAATTTATCACTATCATTCTATTAAAAAGCAAGTTAATTTTCTCCAAAAATGAGCGTACCTAATTTTAATAACCAGTTTGCCTGCTGAAACATGAGGCGTAAATGCGATAACACGATCGAATTCGTGCGAATAATTCGTGGAAGTTATGCTACCGGTTCCTTTATTTCCTTGGAATCGATCGAATCGGGAGCCATGAGATTTTTCGCAAAATGTTTCTACCCTAAATTGGCGCGAAAACTATAAATCGAAGCGGATTTGATCGGTCTCCTTTATGCGATCCATTACACAAAACTGTAATGTATAAGGAACAAACTTATCCCTCCAAAGAAGTTCATGGTCGTTTACGGTATATATGTAGGTGCATTCTTATGAAAATGCAGTGAGCTCCAATAAAACTGCGTGACGTACGTTTCGAAACGGCCAAATGGGCGAGCATACCGGTGTCGGATGCAATTTTGAAATTCGTTTTGACTCGTGGAATCGTAAAGTAATGTTTTTACGGGGCTGATAATAGGTTGGCTCCTACCATTCTTGTGGTCTCTCGTGTGCGGCCACCAGTCCGTTTTCTGTCAAAGACGAAACGAAACTGAAGTCTTCGAGTTCCGTTAACGTTAGAAGTCCGAATGCGGTCATTTCCTATTCTTTTTTGTTCTTCCTCGTTAATAAATTATAAATGTTTACAGTAGATATAAAGAATACATTATTGTATTTCTTACAAGATTTAAATATTAATTGTTTAAAATATATTAAGATGCATTATTTATCGATACTTTTATATGATTACAGAAAATTTGATATATTAAAAAATGAGACGAAATTATGACAAACTATTAAACTTCTAAAATACATACAATTTCCTAATATGAAATATGAAATTTACGATTGAAATATTCAAATATTACACATAAATATTTATGATATTTCTATAAATATAAACGAGAAATATACAACAGTATTACTTTGTGTAAGGATACAAAAGAAATTGAAATCATTAATGAACGTGGCAATAATCGATAATATTTTACGAATTGAACGAAACTATGGCGAAAATACACGCGAGATATCGTAATTTTCCATATTCGGTAGCAATTTAAATGATGTCTCGCTGATATTGATATTCCATTGATACTTTTATCGATGAACGTGTGTTACGTCTGAGAATTCTTGTGGGAGGATCCATGCAAAGATATACATTATGGATTCCAAAATTGGCTTTGACATATAGACCATAAAACACAGAGTTTACAAGCTTGAAAATAGCCCGGGTTCCCGAGGTTATTTGAATACTTAAAAACCAATCAATTCTCTTTCTTTCTCTCTTTCTAAATTTACAAGCCCATAACTAATAAGTAGAGTACTTCGAGAAATTTTATTGCTATAATTATTAATTATAATGTTATGTATACTATTATATTTTGTTATGTAAATTAATTAGTATAATTGTCTATAATAGTTTTATTTTTTTATTATGTTATTAGAAATTTTGTATTAAATTTCAATAGTCTTTTACATTAAAATTTTTTGTAATTTCAGATTTCTTAACACTTACGAATAAAGATACATAGTTCCTACATTTTCTCCTGTATGAAGAGCATCTAACTATGTGATAATACCTGTTACGTTTCGCACAAATCATGCAACAGATGATTTATGAGCAACAAATCCATGATAAGTATAACGCACGCTTATGTGTAGATTTATAAATACCAACATCCACGCGTTTTTATAAATTCAACATTAATCAATGACATTCGTGCAATTTATTATAAGTCGATTGTTAATCTCTCTAAGGAGCCTCCTAACCAATTTCACAAATTTTTAGAAGAGGCAAGGTATTTAAAAAAAACGATGGTTTTAATTATAAAATAATTTCCTTGATCTCTAGCTAAATGATTAATGAATTTCTTCGTTTAAATTGTTCGCTATCCCGTTACTTTCGATTTTAATATTTCAACGGGAATGTAATGAAGTTGAAGATCCTTTACTTCTTCGTATATTATATATGCTGTAAATGTTTTTTAACTTGACAAGTTAACAAGCATTTCATTAAATCTTCTTAAATACCCTTTACTTTCATTCATTCGAATTATTTAATTTTTAAATAGCTCATTTAACTTCGTGAAAATTATTAATATCACTTTAACAATTAAAATTGAAATTGCGTGTGAATTAAAAATAATAGTTTAATTGGATCAAAAATCCAATCACAAAAGAGAATTTTCAATTCATAAAAATTTTAATTATACTTTCCAGTGCGCTTCATGTACTCAAGATTTATCCACCGACGAACCAAATTATCAAAATTTTCTCCCCAATGCAACAACGCTTTCCTACGAGAAAGGAAATTTCTTTCGTAAAGGCACAATTAGGAAAAACCGAGCCTCGTAAATTTTCTCGGTAAGGTCGGCCCCCAACGAGAGCACACGCATCTTTTATAGGCCTGGACGTGACAGAGGGATCGATGTACGATTCCGGTCGTCGTATACGGCGACAAATCGTGTTCACGACTTCCGATCTCCCAGCTCGATTCGATTACCCCTCCGCACCGGTGTCGATAATTATAAACAAAAGGGGAAAAGGGGGACAGAATGATGGCGGAGGGATCGACGAGAGTGACGGGGACGAGGGAAAGAGAGAGCGAGAGAGAAGGCTTCTTGGAAAGGGCGTTTATAAATCACGAATCGCAGGCAACCCCTAATCTTCCACCCTGTTTCTCGAGCCTCGCTGTCTTCCTCGTGTAGTACTTTCCTTCCCCGCTCCACTCGTATTTTGATTTTGCACGCGAAACCACCATCACTCCACCATTCATCATCCGACGCAGAGCAGGCTTCTCTCTTTCTGTTTCCGCTTTTCCAGCCCCTTATATATATATAATAATATATATATAAGCAACTTCCATGAACGTGGCCCGATGAAATTCATCTCGAATCACTGGACAATTAACGTCAACGGCGAGCGGCTACGAGTGAAATAAAGGAAGAGGAGATTTGAGAAGGCGATCACCTCCGGCCAGCGTGGAATGATAATGGGAATAATATCTTCATGGTTCGCGAGCTACGGCCAAGTATAACGGTCAACGATTCCATCCGTACGTCCGTACGCGGAGGAACTGGCAATGATTCATAAGAATTGGAATGGGGAAGGGTGAGCCGGAGGGGAGGCGTGGATTAATTGATACCAAGAATGGGAATTAAGGCTGGAATCGGCGAACGAGGAAGGTTTCGCGATGCTGGTTGGGAGAAGATTAATCGCGCGCGAAGGTCTCTCGGAGAGGAAGATGGGGAAAGTTTGGAAAATTGGATAATCCTTGTTGATTTTTTAATCGTTAATTCTGCATTCTCTATTTTTTATTTAATTTATCAGAGTGAGTAGTGTTTAATTTCATTGTTAATAAGAAGAAAAAAAATTGGTATCAAAAAAAGTAAGGTTAGGATCGTTGCGTTTTTGTATTTTTTGTATATTCGTGATTCGATTATTTTTGCTATCACACATATGAGATCCACTTTTCAATTGGTATCAAAAAAATTAAGGTTAGGATCGTTGCGTTTTTGTATTTTTTGTATATTCGTGATTCGATTATTTTTGCTATCATACGTATGAGATCCACTTTTCAAGTCAAATGATAGCAGTAAGAATAATCCCGTTTATTTCTTTGAAGTAACGAACTGGTTATCTCCATTCCAAGTAAGCTTCTTAGCCATTTTCATCATCCTTCCTATTTGAGCCAAGTGACGAATGATTGTGGACTGGTTTATCTTTATTTAAAATATTATTTCTCTTATCTTTTATCATTGATCATTCTTAATAGCATCTCTTGAAATATTATCGCCAATGGCGATTTCTTGATTCACTCTTTTAATAAAAGAAAAAAAAATTGTTATTCTCGAATTTCGAAGAATTTAATAGAATTTTTCTTTACGTTTACAGTCGATATTTTCACGAGAATTTACGAGTCGTTGGTCAGAGAACGATACTTTAATAAACCTATATTCGATGCATCGTGCATAAGAGAACTTCGAACGTATAATAAATCCTTGTTGAGACTTATTGTTCCTTGGGGGCCCGACGCGAGGAAGAGAACAAGTAAAAGAAGAAATCTTCATAATAGAGTAAAATAATCCTCGCCTTCCTACCATTCTGCTCCACGTATACGTGTGGTATCTGGTAACCTATTTGTTTCTCATTAACGGACCTACATTAATCTTAGGACTCCTACGGAACCTTCGTGAACAAATGTGAGAACATCGAAGCCGCTTGTTACCGAAGGATTCATGGTGCTTCGACAGAATGGAGCTTCTAGAACTCTATTTAAATTCCTTTACACCGTGTAACCGTGATTAAGTACAAATTATCTTGTAATTGATGATTTTTGTGCAAAAGAAAAGTAAGTAAAAAATTGGATAAAGTTGTAAATTTTAATAAAGAAATCTTTATGCTTTTAAATGTTAAAGTGTATTACTGCTCACAAAAAAGATTTTGAAATTCACAACAATTTTAGAGAAATTTTTTAGACAAATTAAAAAGTAAATTTTAAAATAAAAATATTTTTGAATTTTTTCTTTGTGTTGAATAAAATTTTGATAATAAAATCTGAGAGAGAGAAAGAGAGAGAGAGAGAGAAACAACGATTGAAAAATTAAAAAAAAAAATTTTAAAAATATCATCAAGTTACTTACAGCCACTTGATGCACCTGCCATCGTGAATCAGCAACAGCAGCAAGAGCAGCCAAGCTTTAGCACTGCTTCTCTTTATTATCGTCATCTTCATGTCACTTTACATTCTAGAAGATCGGCATTCTTCCTCGTCGTTGACGCATAAAAACTTTTGTTTCATGAATGTTCAAGACTCTCTATCTTCACACGCGATACGATCACGTTTTCTTCAGGGTCCACCACTGTGTTTCTCTCGATGATCGGTCGATCGTTTCACGTACAATCGCGGTACCTTTGATATATCCATCATCGATCAATTCTATTATAAAATATTCACACTACTTTTCCCAATACATATAAAAACCAAACTTTATTATTTTCAGATTATTCTTCTTCTCAAAACAAACAATAAAATTCTAAAATCAAAGAATAAAAGAATAAAGAAAAAAAAAAGAAAAATGAAAAACAATTAATCAAAAAACTCGTTGAAAGTGGACACAACCAAGGATACCGCAAGCAGCTTTTACGAAGAGAAGAATATATAAATTTTATATCGAAAGATATACACTCTTTCAATAATTACAGTTGCCGACAGGACGATAAAGTAGCCTTAGAAATCACACACGCGAATTCCTCCTGCATCGCCAATTATCGTCAATTTTTCAACCGAGAGTTCCTCATCGATGAAAACATATCGTGCACGATATATACATATATATATATATATACATACATATATACATTGACTTGCTAAAATATATTGGAGAAACTAGTCGACAAGTAGTAAAATGGAATTATCCCGGGCACATCCACTGTCACACGACGATTGATCGTGGTGGATGATCAATCGAGGCAGCAGACCGGACGTCAACGCGCGGTATCCTGAATGATCTGTGACCAATATGAGTTCCCTATCGGGGAAGTTCCTTCGCACCGTCCCGTGCTGCAGGGAGTCTGCGTGGTTACAGGTGTCCGTCGAGCCGTCCCGCAGGATTTGCCGGTCGTCGTGGAGGTGGAATCCTCCTACTACTACTCTATTTCCTCCTACTTCACCTACTCGTTTTTCGTTGGACGAGGAACCGGCCACAGGGATGGCGATCAGAGTGTGAACGCGAGCACACGAGTAAGGGAGGAGGCGAGAAACTGGTCAAAGATCCGTGGCTACGAGCTGCTAGAGCCTCTGGTGAACGGAGAGGATCGTACCTGCGAGGAGAGGATCCACCGGTGTTCGTCGTATCAAGCCAAAAGCAAAGCGATAGCATGCATTACCGACTGAAAATAGTTTCGGTTAATTGGGATGTAAAGAACAATTTTTTTTTTTCCTGTAAAATCTTAAATTAAGAGTTTATAGTTTTTATAGTGATAATTTTTAAATCAATAGCGAAATTAGAGAAATGATTTTGTAGGATTACGATTTGGAAAAGTGACAATTTTGAGTTATATTTATCTAAAATGTTTAACATCCCTTACTTAAAGTAAATATGACAAATATAGTGCTATATTCTTTGTTTAAATGAAGCAGATGCAAGGGAAAGATGAAAGTGTCAAGAATTCAGGACAAGTAATTCTCTAATTAAGTATTCTTACCGTAATATCGTCACTTACGTTTATAGTTCCATTAAAATTGCACATATGTATTTCCCTTCTTCAAACATGAAATGTAAATGATAAAACAAGTTAAATTAATTTATGAAAATCTGTATTATAATATAATTTAATTTTCGATTTTTTAATAATTTAATTTCCCGTTTCTCTGTTAAATTAGGATTTGAGATTGTTCTATTTTTATTCGTAATAATATTTACTCTTTTATCCAAAGAATGTGGTAAGCCGGGCAAACAGTTAACTATTGAACCAATTACGTGTACGATTTGCCAATTAGTTTCGAAGAGAAAGCGGGATCGTATATTATTCGAGAACTCGAAGTTACCATTAGAAATATCACACAGAAAGTATCTAGAAAGAGCCGGTTGTTTATTCTCCGGTAGTCGTTTGGTTTTATCTCAAATTTTTCGTCGTTTTTCTCTAACATTTTCATATTTTCATTAAATAATTTTATCAGTCTAACGTTCGAAGTAAGAACGAAAGAATCTATTTCGATATGAACAATGGACCTCAATTTTCATTTGTCTCTCTTTCACTAATAAATTATACTCAACTTCGATTTATTCATTTTGTTATGCGCTGATAAAATAATATATAAGTGTATTCTTATATTTTATAAATATCAGAGATCAAGGTTGTAAAAATTCATATTTATATAGAATATATTTCCATTTTATTTTTAATTACGTCAATGGATAGAATTTACGTAATGCGCGGACACAAAATGCTTACCCCAAACTGTTTTGTAGCCTGTGCGGATCGAGGATTCGTAATATGGCGTACAAATCGTTACAAGAGCGTTAATGGTAATTAACAAATGAGGCAATTAATACTAATGACTGTTCAATTTGTTGATTACTTGAAGAGATTGAGCGCGTGCAAAACGTTCGTACAAAACTTTATTTCGAAATCCCATATAATTCAATAGTCTCTTCCTTTTCCCCTCCACTTATGAATCTCTAATTTTTTAAAGCTGTATTCACTCGTTGATTTAATTTAAATCTTTCATTTTGACGTGTCAAAGCTTTTATTTACTGTGAAAAAAAAACCCAGAAAATCAAATAGAAAAAAAAAATAGAACTTCCGTTTACTTATTAAAATCCTAAGGGCGTTGGATAGCGATTCACCGAACCTTTCTTTACACGAGATTCTTTATTTAAATCAAAAAAAAAAAAAAACGATACAATTTTCCCAATCGTGGAAACCTTCCTTTTTTTCCACGCGAGGAAAAGATCACGCGCCTCCCTTACGAAGTTTGATCTTTCTTCCCCATTATTTCTTTGTGGCCGCGGAAGATGGCGTTACGGCTCATTTAGCAATTTGCTTATTTGCTAGGAAAAGTCTCGGTCTGTGTGTACACGCGTTGGCTTTGTGCGTAATCGCGAGGGGTGGTGGAGAAGAAGGGAGGAGCCGTGGAACGAGAGAGGTAACTTTTGCGATCGTGTCGAGGGGGTTTGAGGTTTAAGTCGCTTTTAATAGCCAAGCAGCTGTCGCCGGATCTGTTTGCCCCCTTTTTATGGTAGACGTCTTCGACGAATAATGGGAGGAAATAATCTGGAACGAAAGAAGCGGCCATCCTTTGCAGTCCTCCGCCAATAAACCGCTTTTAACCCGTTCTTTTCGTCTCTTTCGACGCCACCGCTCTCTGCTCGATTCAACCGTCATTTTCACAGCCGAGGTGAAAGTACCCACCTCGCAATTAATGCGAACGTTCTTCCGATGATTCACGTATTGTCACGGATCATCCAAACCGGGAAATTTCATCGCCTTGGAAGAAACGTGTTTTCTATTCACGCGCATTGTCGCGTTTCTCTCTATGATAGATAGATATAGCCCCTTCTAGGGTATTTACGATCCAGGTGAGTTGAAATCATTTGACTCCTGATAAATAAAACAACAAGTAAAAAAAAAGGAAAGATGCTAATGATTTGATATATGGAATATAGGTGTTCGATTACCGATTTTTGTAATACGTTTGTTTCCCTTCATGATGAACAGATGTAGTCTCTTCTAGGTATTTACGATCCGGACGCTTCGAATCATTTAACTTCTGATGAATAGAATGATAACAAAAAAAAAAAAAAGGAACAATGTTAATAATATAGTCGTTTGACGTATGAAATAAATGTTTGATTATTGATTTTTACTGATTACAAAAACTCTTTAAATATTTACGATTCAGTTGCTGTTTTGAGTCATTTAAAATCTCTTGATAAATGAGGCAATAATATAAGGAATAATGTTAATAATTTTGTTTGATATATGGGATAGGATTAGCGATTCTTTGCGAGGACTTTCAGTGCAATGCCAATCTTTTGTTCGTTTGCGAAATGCCAATAAATTTTGTAAAATATCAAAAGTTGCGGTTTCGCGAAGACCTAGATTAATTAATTCGATGTCATGCAATTAAATTGATATCAACGTGTTTCTCGAGGAATGGCGTCTCATCTGCATAATCTGTATATAATAACGTCGCCGAGAAAAAAAGGAATTAATCCCCCGGTGATAAACTTTTTCCCATCCCTTCTCAAATCAGGAGTCTTACGCAGGAGTGGCTTCTCCGTCAAACTACTGAAACATCAGGCAAATTAGAAAAACATTTTTCTATTCGATAGAATTGACTGAAATAAATTCATTCGTATTTTAATTTTGAATCATTCGAAATCATTATAACTACTGCTTACAATAATTTTTATTGTATGTTTTTCTTTAGATTATTAAGTTAGATGCAATTAAATAACGATGTGTAAGTATATACAATATGAAGTATTGAAAATTATTGAAAATTATTTGTAAAATATAATAAATGCAATCTTTGCTTCATTGCAAATGAAATAACAAAATCATCTTGGCTTAATATCATTTTGAATAGATTTTTTCCGGTAGCTTATCTAAATCGTTAATCAATAAAAAATTGGGATTTCATTTGGGGATAATTGTATCCAAGGCATCCATGTCCCATTGAAATTTTCAGGATAAGAACGTGGATCCACGGGAGCGTTCGTTTGATGTAATAAAACTTTTTCGTATTCCGCGATAAAATAATTTAATTTCTTGACAATCTGTAAATGAAATAAATTTTTTTTTAACAGCATCTTTATGTCAATTTAAATTTAATTTGTGAAAAAATTTTTATCTAATTATTAATGTTCATACTTACTTCAGGATGCTCGTTGGACAAATCTGTCGTTTCACAAGGATCATTGTAAACGTCAAATAAACATTTGTCCACACATTTCGAGTAACTCGTGAAATTATTACAAACAACCCTTGCCTCGTTTCGAAGCTTAATTACATCCTCGATATTTAACGTAAAATTTGTCGTATGAAAAATAGTAGAACCGACAATTGAATGTAAAACGCTCGATACATTGTACTCGGGATATGACACACTCGTACCGTTATCGCCATAGTAATCACTATACTGAATATTTTTTCCTGTATAATAAAAAAAAAGTAGAATTAAATCTAATAATAAAATTCACAAGCTCATCCAGATAAAAACATTATGCGACGAGTTCGCGAATATCAGATCTCGTATAGAAATAAATTTAATTACCGTTAATTAATTTGTATTTTCCTATCAAAGCGCTAGAAACACCTTCCACTTCGTCGATGTTCAACAACACGCTTCCGCGCTTTGATTCTTTTCCAGAGACAATTGTATCCCATTGATCGATACCGTCCATATTTTCTTCCAGATTCTCCAGATTACCACCAGCCGCTGAGTAAAACGTCGGCAACCAATCGGTTATGTGCATCAATTCATTGGAAATTCTCGAGGAATTCTGTATTAATCTCGAATAAACGCATGCCACACCACGAATTCCACCCTCAAAAAGTGTAAATTTCAACTGAAAATAAACATTGAAATATTAATTTATAAATACATTGGGATAAATGTCGAAATATCTTGATACGCGATAAGAAACAAAATATCAAATGTATCCCTTCATTACCCCACGCAATGGATAATTTGACCCATAATTCTCCAATAATCCTTCAGTTTGCGCGCCATTATCAGACATAAAAACGATAATTGAATTTTCCAACATATTCGATTGTTCCAATGCTTTAATCACTCTGCCAACGGATTCGTCCATCGCAGTAACCACGCCTGAAAATAGGACAAGTTGCGAGAAAGTAATTATGAAAATTGAAACCAATGATTATCTTATAATTTTAGATTAATTTTCTATTGCGTACCCGCATATTTTCTCCTATTATAATCTTCGATGTATTCTAAAGTGACATTCGTTTCTTGTTCATCGCGAACTTCCATAACCTCTTTTGCATCACTAGAATGAGCAGCCAAATGAGATAATTGAAGATAAAGAGGTTTTCCTCGATCATGATTCTTAATTATATTTTCGGCCCTTTCTGTAATAAGATCGGTTGTATATTCGAAATTGTAACTGACGGACAAATTCTTTGAATTGTCGTAATGCAAATCGTATCCAATGTGATTCTGAAAAAATCAAAGATTTCGAAAGGTTTAAGATATCTGTTATTGAAGATTCTATAATCATTCTTTTATATTGTTATTTTACGACACTTACGTCTTGTTTAATGGTATGATTAAAGTATGAGATGTAACCACTATAATATCCAAAGAACGTGTCGAAACCACGACGAGTTGGTGTGTGATAATCACTATAATAGCCAACGTGCCACTTTCCTACAAGATGCGTGGCGTATCCTAATTTTCGCAAATATTCAGGTAGAAGAGTGTTGTTTAGAGGTATCGCACGTGGTTCACCCGCTTTTAGTGGATAACCTTGCATACCTGTTATGAAAAAATGTACAAATATATATTTATTGCTTAAAGAAATTAACACTTAAACGTGAGATAAATTTATAAAAAAAAAAAAAAAAACGATGATTAAAAAACGATGAAAAAGTAATCATTTACAATGAAAAACGTAAAACATACAATGAAAAGAATTTAATTTTATTGGTATACAGTTTTTCTTTATAAAATCAAAGTTTAACAAAATATTTTCCGATATTTTTAACGTATATTTATTACTATATTAATATCCATTCATAATATTCATCGAATAATAAATTTTTCACAGATCAAAATTTTTCAAACAGAATAAATAATATTTCTTAAATATATAATAATATTTCTTTTGATTTGTTAGTTTTACCTCAATTTTTATCAATGTCTCTATGAACAAAGCCTATGTATATTTATATATATATGTACACATTTGATTCAAGTAGTATCGAGACTTATAAATCCTCTTCGTTATTTCGACATGGAATACAAATCACTCTATCATCTCGTAACACTTCTTGCAACAAGATGACATTGAGTATTACTCACAATGGACAATAAATTATACTTTGACATACGTTGCGTCGTATTAACAATTATGCTACTGATAAAAAACACCAAAACGAATATATGTTGAATATCGACCGGATACATGGTATTAATAAAGTACCTGTTCGAATGGGATAACGGCCTGTGAGAAAGGCTGTCCTTGATGGCGTGCATATCGGTAGGACGTAATGTCGTTGTAATATAACGCCGTTGTAGGCCAGGGCGTCTATGTTCGGCGTGGGTATTTGATTGGCACCATGAAAACTCACGTCGTTCCACCCCTTGATGAGAAATTCGAAGAATTGAGTGACTAGTAAAGTTTGATTTACATATAATTGGTAGGCGGTTATTTAAGGTGGGATCGAAAGTTGCTTCAGATGTTCAAAAATGAATGATATTGAAGTTTCATTTTCTCTGTTATTATTTCGTTGTATCGAGATATGGAACAGTATAAAACAAAATCAAATATTTTTCGTGTCAAGTTTATTTGCTGTCCGATTTGTATTCATATAACGAATTGCGATGCATGTACATTGCATTGAAATGATAACAAGATAACGAATTTAAAGATGAAGTGATGATTGAATAATGCGAATGATTATATATTAATTACATTCCAACAGGATAATCTGATATGTCCACGATATTGATAATATTTAAATGTTAACAAATTATCCCATTATTTGATTTAGCAAATAAGTGAGTATATAATCATATACTTGTATAATCACTATTAACTTAATTTGTAAATATGAATCATTAATTTTCTTCTCGAAGCAACTTAATTAGACGATATGTTTACAACGAATAGATAAAATCATTTCTGTTATCTAAAACCATAAAATCGTCGCTATTTCTTCTTCGAGATCGCTTCTTAATTAATCTAGTATGCAGAACACGGCTATAAAATGGGAATTGCTTCTTTTATCGTCCTTAAAACTTAAGAAAGATTATATTATCTTACAAGATCGTCAGCCATGATCACGATTATATTTGGTCGTTTAACTCTTTCCCATAGTTTTGATTCCTGGATCGAGACGTATATACATCCTATTATAAAAATCACAGACGCTACGAGGAGAAAGAAAGTTTTCCTTTTTTCCACTTCCATATATTCCACTTCATGTAAATACTTGTATTTAATTATTTCATTCACATCGATTCGATTCTACAGAAACACTTTAATCGAATCTTCTTCAAATCATGTCATTTATTGTTCAAAATATTTATGGTTTTCACATTGTATGATCGATAAAAGAGAAATATACACTCTGATTAATTATAAATATTTTAATCTTTCACTGTGAAATTTTTAATAAAAAAAAAAATGCTAATAGTATAATAATCAATGATTCATGACACAATCTATTTATTATTTATAGATAAAACGTACATATATATATTTAAATGCAAATTACGAGAAAATTGCACATAATGATTATTTAGATTCGTTTTTCAAAAAAAGTTCCACTCGAAAACACAACGATGTAAAATCGGGAATCTTACATTTATTACGTATCTCTACCACGTGCTGTCTTTATATCACTCGCGTGGAAAGTATGGAATGGTACATTCTGACTGTTATCACTAAGCACCTAAGCAAAATAACTTAACGTCAAAGCCTGCATTGCAACTATCGAAAACACATTGCACATTCGTCAAGGAGAACTGTCTCGTTCCCTTGCAGATAAGTAACCAGTAATCGTTAGAATATTATCTTTTTCTTTATCCATCGCTATTTTTAAACAAATTTTTTTATATAACAAATTAAATAACAAATTTGTTATTAAAAATATTATTTTAAAAAGTTATGAAACAAAATAATATATTTTAAAATAATTTAAATAATATTTCAAATATATCCAGATTTAATAATAAATAATTATTATAATTTAAAATAATTATATTTAATAATCGATAACTTTAAAATCAAAACAAAATATTTCTTGATTATTTTTTAAAACATATAATAAAAAATAGATAACAATAAAAATTTTTCTCTTGTTTTAATGAAAATACATATTTATAATATTGAAAAATTAGGTTAAGAGTATTGAATTGGTTCTTTTATAGCTAGAAAACTGAAATCTTAATATTATCACTTGATTTTTATAGAAAGAATAAGTAGAATATATAAATTAATTTTAATAATTTTTAAAACACAATGTAATAAATATGTAAAATAAAATAAATCTTGTGAATTTTGTTAAATTTTCTATTTTATTTTTATTAAAAAAGAATATATATATACAGAATTTAGCATAATTGCAAATGATTCATACATAAATTAGATAACACATTTATTCATAACTAATTAAAATTACATGAGTATTTAATCGTTAAAACTCGTTTCATTAACTTTTACCTTGAAAAGAAATAAGCAATTTTTAAATAGTAAGAGAAATGAAATATGCTATATACATATATAAATATTTAAAAAATCAACAAAAAACAAATATATTTTACGGAAATATATTTGCAGAAAATATAATGAATTTCCTATAAAAAACATAATTATTAAAAGATAACAATATAAAATTGTACAAACAATATTGATGTATTTTTTCCTGCATCATTTTTACCTATTTTAACTTTATAAGATATTTCTTTAACATAATACGCAAAAAATTGATGAATATATAAATTGAAAATGAACATTCTAAATTATGTGTAATCTTCTAAATAACTTAAATTATTCCAGGTAATGAGAATTTTTCGCTAAAAAATTTTATTCGAGATATATTGAATTACTTAATTACGGAAATATGAAGTCATTTATTTCAATTTCTGTCTCGTTAAATTTGTTTATCTTCAGAATTTATCAGTCAAGCCTAAGATCTGCCAGCCATATTTTTACATTTATTTTTAACATAAACGAATTTACGTGATTATATTTATAGATGAATTTATGCTTATATTAACAATATATCAACAATAACAATTGTAACAGATCGATCATGTTATCCAATAGAACTGTAAAATTTATACGTTTTTAACTTTATATAAGTTTAAGTTTAAAACACGAAAACATTTTTTTACTGAGGAAAAGATATTTAAACACTCTAAAAGAGGATTTAAAAAAAAAAAAAGATTGGAAGACATTGGAGTATTACGAAATTGTTCAAGTTGTTGTTACTATCGTATTAAAATATCGTGTCGTTTGAAATCAAATCGATTGAATTTTGATAATTTATCGATGCTATTAACATCCTTCTCGAAATATTATCAATCTGATAATAAATTATACAAATATTATACAATCAGATAAAATTGTTCATCAATACCGAAATGAAAATGATCGAAACATGAATGTAATATGCTAAATTGACGAATACAGTTCCGATGTTTTGAACGTATATCGTGGCTCTAGAATTCATCCATGGTTCCCATGTATTGTTCCTTCTTTTTGGATCGGCCAACCAATCCACCGGTTTTTTAATTTGTTTCATTAAAACACGACCATACTGTTCCAAGTAAAGATCCAAATCTCTTGCGATCTATAAACACAACACAATTTGAACGAATATTGTGCAAATGACGATATTAAAGATTTAAACGTTTATATTAAACGTATAAATGTTGTGATTAAATACAGACTGGAAATATTCCATTTTTAAACTATACTATATTAATATTAATTTTTATACATATTATCTTTTACGTAACATTTTAAAATTGTTAAAAAGATTAAGATTATTTATTCGAATATTTATTCGAATATTTTTATAACCAGTCCACTTTGAATTGTTTTAGATCGAATAAACGATAAAAAAATATTAGCATTTTTATACTAACTTATGTCTGAATGTACAAAGAAGTTTATATGTTAATCTATTACACGGGTATATGATAATCTAATTTTAACTTATTAAGTTAGGTTAATAAAGCTACTTATGCGAAACATGTAATACAAATCATGTAATACATATCAATTTGTTGCTATTTTTTAATTCGATATTATTGTCATCTACAATAGATAGATACAAAAGATAAATTAAAATTGCAAATTTGAGAACATCAGACGATACGTAGATGCATACATTGCATCGATTACGTCAGAAAGTAAACACTTGTTGCAAATACGCATATTAATATGATCTTAAATGAGAAATAATTGAAGGACGATTTATAACACTTACTCTGGCATAAGCTTCCGCGATGTTTTTTGTTTCGCATGGATCGTTCACTATATCGAATAAACATTCCGTCATGTTACAAAATGTGAACGAGTGCCTGTAATAATATGTCACATTTGGATGACATTGGACGGTCGCTTCTCGCCTTAATTGTATCATTGTGCTTGGTTGTGTCACTGGGCCGCCGAGATGATAGGTGATACTTTGAGAAACAGCGCTTTTCAACACCACTTCCGTGTACGGTGGTGTCTCTAACGTTCTTCCGGAATCCCCATAATATTTGTCGTAATAATCGTTCCCGATGGAACCTTAAAAATTTTGTTTCTAAAATTCTTAAAATATTCCGTATCTGTCGATTTAATTTTTACTTTACTTTTTATTTATTTTTTTTCTTTACATGTAGCTTCGATAATATATTACCTCGCAACAATTTGAACCGGCTGTATATCGCCCCCTCGGTTTTCATAACTTCGTCGATATTTAACAGAAGTTTCTCTCTGCCGTGCCCTTGCCCCTCGCTAAGTACGCGCCATTGATCGATCCCATCGATCTCGCCTAGATCCTTTAGATCTCCACCAGCTGCGGAATAAAGGGTGGGCAACCAATCGGTTATGTGTATCAATTTCTTGAAAACACGGGCTGCTTTCTCCAATCTCGACGACCATAATGCCGCCACCCCTCTCACCCCTCCCTCGTATAAAGTGTATTTTGTCTGCAATAATAATATTTTAAAATATCCTAAAATTTCTTTGATTCACTATCACTTGACTATTCGAGATCGATTTATATTGATTCCGTAAAAAAATAGGAAATCGAGTTTCTTTCAACTCAACTTTTGAATAAATAAATAAAAAAAAAAAAAAAAGATATATGTAACAGATATGCAATCTTACTCCTCTTAATGGATAGTTCGAGCCGTAATTTCTGTATCTACCGATCGAAGCTGCTCCATTATCGGTGAGAAACAGGATTAGGGAGTCCCTCAGCATTCCTTTCTCGCCTAACGCGTGAACTATACGCCCAACCGATTCGTCTAATTTCGACACCATTTCTAAAAATAACCACACATTGCACACATAACGTAACTTCAACTCGAATAAGTTACTCGAAAATTTTTAAATATCCTTTCGATTTTTTTTTTTTTTTTTTTTTACTGGCATATTTCCGCCGATTCGGCTCGCGAATCTGTATAATCTCGTCGTTGCTCAAGTCGTCCGGTTGTTCTATAGGCGCGTGAACCGCTAGATGCGAGATCTGAAGGTAAAGGGGTCTAGGAAGCTCGTGATTCTCGATGATCTTGATCGCTTCCTTGGTGAACAGATCCGTCACGTATTCCCGCTTAATTCCGTACGCCGGATCATCCCCACGATGCATGTCGTATCCGGTCATATTCTGTGGGGAAGAGAACTGCTTTCTATTCCCCGATGAAATTATTTTTCACATTTCGAAGGAAGAAAAATTAATAAAATTCAAAGAAAAAAATTCACCTGATTCGAGTACTCGTAATCGTAATACGTGATGTGGCTGTTGTAAAAACCAAAGAACGAATCGAACCCCCTATGCAATGGCGTGTACTGTGGCGTGTGGTATCCTATGTGCCACTTCCCAATTAATTTCGTGATATATCCTAAACCTCGTAAATGCTCCGGCAAAATTTTTATGTGCAATGGAAGACCTCGTGGCTCCCCACCACGAATTCCTTCCCCTTGCATCCCTAATAATAAGAAAGAAATAATTCCAAATCATATATTGAATATTGTTCCGAATTGTTGTTGAATCGATCTTTGATTTGACATTATTATTATTATTATTAATTTAGTTATAAATTATTGATTTATCGAACTTTAGATTTTAAATTTTTATTAATAATTATATTTAATCTATTTCAAATGCATATACATATAACAACATATACCGATACGAATCGGGTAGAGGCCGGTGAAAAAAGCTGTCCTAGATGGTGTGCTTGACGGTAGAACGTAGTGTCTGTTTAATATAATTCCATTGTACGCGAGAGCGTCAATGTTGGGAGTTGGTATTTGATTCGATCCATGGAAACCAACGTCGTTCCATCCCTATCAATCACAATGTAAAATATGTAGATAAAAGAATCCTTTCTTCTCGTTCAAATAAACGTAATCAGTTTTAAAGAAGATAATTGTTAATTGTCCAACAAGGTATACATCGTATCGAAAGGAATCTTTTGACAAGATCTTTTTTTTTTTTTCTCAAAAAAATGAACATAGTCTATATAATATATAGAATATAAGAATCTTATTATGTTTCTTTATTAAAGATGTTAAAGATGATTTACTTTTCAATTTGTCTTTCTTAAAATATGAATATTATCGAATTAGATATATGCGTAGGTATGTATTCGTATGTAAATGTATACAAGTTTCCGCAATTGCTTTTTCTGTCAAAAATAATTTCGTCTTCTCTCAACGGTTCATCATACCACACCATACCATTTATGAATTATGGATACATTTGAAAAAGCAATTAGTATCAATGCAAGTGCAGATTTTTTTTTTTTTAATTTTAAGTATATTAAAAAGTTACGCTTATGGAGAAAATAACAAACGATTATGTATGATATTATGTAATAAAATATGATAATATAGTATTGGAGAGGGATATATCGCGGTAGAGGAAGATTTTTGTTTTGCAGTTACGAGTGAGTCACAAACACCAGCATCCTTGTTAAACGCGGAGGCGTAGGTAATTTTCGAGCAACACTAATTGTCCTTAACTAAGGACAATTTTAATTCAAACCGCTTTCATACTACAGATTAATCATAGCGAATTAAGCAAAGTAGACAAGCATAACTAATGTAGAAACTAATGTAGATCTACTTCGCATAAATACACAAGTTTTGTAATTTTTTCTTTTGATTTATGTATATTAATTATTAATTCATTTTGTTATAATCTATGGATAAAAATTTTTTTAATAAAAAAGAAAAATACTTATTTAGAAAAATTTAATTGTTTTCGCCTTTCTCTTCTTTTAAAGAAACTTTCATTTTTTTCACACGAATAATAATTTTTATTCGTTTTAAATCCAAAAATTTATTACAACGTATAATTACTCTGTGTAAAAAATTTTCTGATTTTATGTACTCTTTATATTGATATTTATCTCTATTTCATTTGTATTGTACATTTTATGAAAAATATATTATTATTTACAATAAAAGTAATTGAAAAAAAATATATACATGTAATCAAAATATAAATAAAATATTATATTATCAAGTCTTACCAAATCATCAGCCATGAATACAATAATATGAGGTGCCGTTTCATATAGACCGAGTACACAATCGATAGTTAATATTAAGGGTAGCAAAGACATAATCATCGATATTATGGAAAAATGACGCATTTTCGGCGAAAGTAAATAAAAAAAATGCAATAAAGTAAAAATAAAATAAAGACCCAGTGAAAAATTATATAATTTGTAACACAAAAAGGACACGATTTTTTAAACAATTCGAAACACAATTTACTAAAATAAATAATCAGAACATTATACGCGATGTTTATGTAAGAGCTCCTGCGAGACACAAAAGAATGAGGAACAGAAATAAACACGTTTATATAGTCCACCCACGAAGAAGCATGTCATGGAAGCATGAATGAACCATATGAAAGGGAAGGGAAAATACACTAATAATTACGGTAATAAAGATACATCTTTTAAATGGGTTGCTTATCGTCTTACGTGTTATTTTCCATACTTATGTAATTACTTATTTGCGTACGAGACATTTTGTATGGAATTTTTGAATAGATTGTATTAAATATTTTTTTAAAGATTTTATTATTCTTTTATATTATATAATATATATAGTATTATACATATAATTTGTTCCAAATTTTCCCATTTCGAGACTTCAAGTTAATAGAGGGAAGATACGATATAATTTAATAAATAATTTACATATTTTTGTAAAAAATAAACACTTAAAATGATTTGTTTCATCATATATATTTATAAAATTATTTTTTTTATAATAAAAATGTTTGCAAAAAATATTCATAAATTGTTTTATAATAATTGTTCACAAAAGTTATCAAAATTATATTATGTTTCTTGATTATAATATATATATATATATAATATTTACTCAAAGTTCATCGATTTACCAATGAACCAATTTATAGTGTATTATAGTATTTATATTTATAGTATACAACTTATTACATAAAAAAATTTAATTGTATTGTATAAATTTTCTGTTAAAAATTTTTAATATTTATAATTTAAATTTCTTAATTTTAATCGAATATTATTATTTTTTTTAATCAATTAAAATTTTTAAAAAAATTAGTATGATAAAATTATGTAATTTTAATTTCATGAAAATTTTAATTAAAAAATTTTATACAAATCTTTGTATTGTATTATGATCTTGTAATTTTTTTAATGAATGCAAATTATTCCACCATTCCGGCAATTTATTTTCAAGTATCAATTTAAACCAAGGAGTTAATGGAGCATTAAGATTTTTTACAAAATTGTTAATTTCTGATTGTGATATCCAACAAAGTTCACTAATTTCATCTGGATTTGGATCTAATTTTAAATTGTCTTTTTGTATAAATAGTACATAATCTATTTCATGTTCACCCCATTCACTTTCCACTGCAAAATAATGAATTCTTGTTAAATATACAAAATCTGATATTGATATTTGTGACAGAGGAATTCCTAGTTCATAATTAAGTCTTCTTCGTGCTGCTCTACGAATTCCAATTGCATCATGTTCTTCAGTTTCTTCAGAAATTTCAAATAATGGATGACTACAACATGTATTTGTATAATGATTTGGAAATGTTACCTACAAAAAATATTATTTTATATTATTCAAATATATCTTTCAATGCAAACATAGAATTTTCTATATGATAAGAAATATTTTACCTTAGTAGCAGATCTTTTTTGAAGTAATAATTCTCCTTTATTATTGAATAAAAAGACACTAAATGCTCTGTGAAGTAAAACTTGTCCATCAGGATTAACAATATGACATTCCTTCTTTGTAGCATCACCGATAGATTTATCATATGAATCAACAAGAATACAACGTTCTTGTAAAGCAGCTAGCTGCAAAGTAGCTTCAGCAGTACTTAGTAAATTCATTCTGGAAGATGTCAGAGTTTGTACACCATTAAACATTGTTCGGAACACTTTAGCTATCATAATAGCGTTTTTTTTAAATAATATTTAATATATTTATAATATTTTATGCATGTAAATTTTTTTTTAGTACATATGGTAATTTTATTTATTTATTCTGTAAAGTATAGGTTAACTAAATCAATGATCTCCCGTAAATTTCAAATTTTAAATTCGTTAAGATCGTTTTTAAAGTAAAAATATAAAATATATATATTATAATATAAAATTTTACTTTTTCTAAGAAGCAACCAAATATTTTCACATATATATTAAACAATTATTTTTTCTTGATATCACAATATATTTTTATAATTATACAATTAAAGTATTTTATTTACAGATAATACTTAAATGAACGTTAACTGTAAACTACCTCTCATTTATATGTATCATCTCTTTTATATACAGTTTACATACCTACTTTATCTACAGATCTATTTATAGATATATATTACGAAAAATGCTTATTTGGAATTTTACGTCAATACATTTTATGAAGATATTATTATTAAAATATTATAATTTATGAAATATAATTCATATTTAAATGATTCATTAATTTTCTTTATACATATTAAATAATTATAAACAATTATTAAGTAAATTCTAAAAATTAAAATCAAAAGATTTCAAATAATTATTTCGCATTCCTTATATAAATTTTTTATACTAATACAATATAATATAACAATTTTTACAATACTATTTTTATTATTACTACACAACTATAGATTCATAGCAATATTTAGAAAAATTAATTTATATATAAAATATATATATTTTTATTAGAACATATAAAAAAAAATTAATTTATAAAATATACTTTTTATAAAATATAAATTATATATAATAATTACATAAATTTTATATATGAAATATATAGTGCCATCTTTGGAATATTAAAAACATTTAAAGAATTATATTTCTTAAAAATCATTAAAAGATGGTACTGATCTTCAATTCTATCTTGCAAAGAAGAAATGTCTTTGGTACTTAACAGATGGCATTGATGATCAATTCATACTCTACACTTTTTTCAATATTTTAGATTCTTTTTTTGTGTTTTATTTGCAACATTCTAAAGATAATGCTAATTTCAATATTTTTATTCTATCTCTGTTTTTCTTTCATTATTTGCTATTTTCTTATCTATATTGCTTTTAGTCTTTACGTAACTTTAACTACAAATGAGGTACGATATTTCATATGTATTCAATAATATATTTTCATCATCTTCCCTAAGAATTGTTATTTTACATACATATATCTTTTAAATAGATTTCTAAAATTATAATTGTTATTTTCGGATTTTATTTGTACAACAAACACACAAGAGAAGATAAAAATTTTCTTTCTAAAATAAAGTATATTATATATATATTTAAATATTTCTGTATAAAAATATTAATTCTATTTTGTTATTATATTTATTGCAATACCAAAATAGAACTCATTTCTAAAAATTATACATTATAGTTTATGTATAAACATTACTTATTATAATATATAAAAAGCAAAAAAAACTTTTAATCAATTTCAAAATTTATTTTTATAATATAGAAAGAAAGAAATTTATAATAACAACAATATTTATTATAGGCAAATAAAATCGGTATTATGTTAATCTTATATTATATTGTATGCTATATGTAGTATACAAGTAATATTAAATTTATACAAATAATATCTTACAATGTATCTACTTATTTACTCATATGGCTATATTATTTGAATCGTAATGATCGATACTTTTCGTTGCTTCTCGACTTCGATTAATCGAATCGCTTTATGGGGTAGTTGAGTAGATTTCACGATATTCAGTGTGTCTGCATAAAGACCGTTATATAAAAAAAATTATTTCTTTAATGTGTTATTTATTATCTACGTTTCGATATAATTTAAGTCATTTTACATCGTCTTGTTAGTTTATTAATATAAATTGCAAAATGAGTGAAAACGCAGAAATTACAGGAGTAATATCGCCAGAAGATGCAGCCAGAGCGGAAAAATTTAAAGAAGAAGCAAATGAGTATTTTAAAAGTGTGTTTACAAAATTTTCTTACAAATTTGTTTTTGTTATTTAATTTACATTTAAATATCAAATTAAGAAAAAATTCATAATTATTATTAAAATAACATAATTTAGTCACGTGTACATTTAAAACTAACCCAACTTCTGTAACATAAATGATCATTAAATTATCGAATATAATCTTATTATTAAAAATTAATAATTTAAAATAATCATATTGTTTATTATATCATTATTATAAATCTTAAATAATTTATCTTAAATAATTATTTTTATATCTAATATTTTACAATCTATGTACAATTATGATGATAAATTTTATATATTTTTTATTTGATGTATTAAATAAATAGTGTTTATTTTGTCAATATAAAAAGATTTAATTAGTAAAATTTTATTATAATTTTAATGCATTTATAATAAGTATTGTAAATAATTAAAATTTCATTGATTATATTTTTTATTTTCAACCATCTTATTTTTAATTATTTTTTTTTCAGATCAAGACTACACCAAAGCTATAGAATTATATACTAAAGCCATAGAATTAAATCCTACAGTGGCAGTTTATTATGGAAATAGAAGTTTTGCTTATTTAAAAACAGAATTTTTTGGATATGCACTTACAGATGCATCAAAAGCTATTGAATTAGATAAAAATTATGTGAAAGGATATTATCGTAGAGCCGCAGCTCATATGTCACTTGGGAAGTTCAAATTAGCTCTTAAGGATTATAAAACTGTTACTAAAGCAAGACCAAATGATAAAGATGCAATGATTAAATATACAGAATGTTGTAAAACATTAAAAATGTTAGCCTTTGAAAAAGCAATTTCTGTAGAAGAAAATAAGAAAAATATAGCTGATATGATTAATTTAGAAGCCATGGGTAAATTATTATATTTAATTATTGTATAATATTATTAATATTATAATATTGTTTAATATTATAACTATTTGATTATGATTATTTCACAAGTTTTTTAAAAGAGAAATCTTTTAATTTCTTATTTTATAGCTATTGAAGATGAATATACAGGGCCTAAACTTGAAGATGAAAAAGTTACATTACAATTTATGCAAGATCTATTAGAATGGTATAAGAAACAAAATAAATTACATCGTAAATATGCTTATAAAATTCTTTTAGATGTAAAAGCATGGTTTATGGCACAACCAAGCTTAGTTGATATTACAATTCCTGAAGATAGTAAATTTACTATCTGTGGAGATATACATGGACAGTACTATGATTTACTTAATATATTTGAATTAAATGGATTACCATCGGAAACTAATCCATATGTATCCTTTATAATAGTATATAGATTAGATTACTATATTTTAATTTATTAAAAATTAATATTTTAATTTACTAAATAAATACATTATTAGTACAAATGAAAGAAAAAAAAATAAAATAAAATAAAAGAATACATATGTATTCATATGTTTCTTAATCATTATATAGTTATTCAATGGAGATTTTGTAGATAGAGGCTCCTTTTCTGTAGAATGTATATTCACCTTATTTGGATTTAAATTATTATATCCAAATCACTTTTTTATGTCTAGAGGTGTGTTTTTATCAATCTATTTGTATCATTAACATGTATTCATTCATAGTAAAATAAATGTTTAGGTAATCATGAATCTGCCACAATGAATCAAATGTATGGATTTGATGGTGAAGTCAAAGCAAAATATTCTGCTCAAATGGCCGAATTATTTACAGAGGTTTATAATTGGCTTCCTCTTGCCCATTGTCTTAATAATAGAATACTTGTAAGTTTATATATAATCAGATAAAAGTTAAATATATATAATTATATACACATAAATCATGGTTTACATGATGTACATATAAATTATAATATTTATGGATTTCATAGGTAATGCATGGTGGATTATTTTCAAGAGATGATGTTACATTAAAAGAAATTCGAGAAATTGATAGAAATAGACAACCACCAGAAGAAGGATTAATGTGTGAATTATTATGGTCAGATCCACAACCACAACCTGGAAGAGCACCTAGTAAAAGAGGAGTTGGTGTTCAATTTGGTCCTGATGTTACACAAAATTTCCTTACTATAAATAATCTTGATTACATTGTAAGAAGTCATGAAGTAAAAAATGATGGATATGAAGTTGGCCATGATGGAAAATGTATCACTGTGTTCTCTGCTCCAAATTATTGGTATATAAACATATATTATTAAATTCTATAAAATTAATTAATATAAAAATATTTATCTTATTTTTTATTTATAGTGATACTATGGGTAATCGGGGTGCCTTTATCACACTTAATGGCAAAGATATGGAACCTCACTTCACATCATATGAAGGAGTGGTATGTTACAAACTAATTAATAATTTTTTGAATTTCTAATAGCACTATATAAATGTATATTTTTTTCAGCCTCATCCAAATGTAAGGCCAATGGCATATGCTAATTCTCTACTAAAATTCATGTGCTAGTGGAACACCCTAGGTACTGTTGATAAATAAATGAATAACAATAACTGAATACGAGTAGCCCAATCAAAGTGTGCGTAATATATTTGATACCGAAATGGAGAAGGTGAGAAAGGCTTAGGCTTCTCCAACAATAAAATACTGTATTCTTTTTAGGAACAAGAATATCTTCTGTATCATAATAAATACAATGAAGGTATAATATTGATGGGTACAAAAATGAAAGAAGTTTGCTTGTTTTGACAACTGGCGAACAGATGTATCAAATTTTCTTGTCTATGATAAGAACAATGCCTCATTAGCAATTTATGTTTCATTTTAATGAAATGACGCAAAGAGAACGTTTCTATTTTGTACCCTCAATTAAACCACCTTATTCACTAAAGATATTAATGTTCACGCACAAACTGAATAAATGATCTCAATGATCTCAACAGATTAACTTATATTCTAATATTTGCAGAAGGTGCTGAACATGTAATGAACACACCTGTTATTCTTTTAATTTATTCTTTAAGGAATAATGGTGGTTTTTATAAAATAATAATTATTACAAAAATATCTAATACATATGCGATCTAGCATGACTATGTAGTACAATTTTCCAGCCAGTCACTATTTGTCACGTTATTTGTGATGACTACTTTTTCATAAATTTAACGTGATTGGAAGGATCTCTTTAATCTAACATTTTGTTTTTTTGTTAATAATAAACGATGTTTATAATGTATTTAAATTTCATATTGTTTTTCTTAAAAAAAAGAAATTATGCCTTAAAAAATAAGAGGAAAAATTTCTTCCGGTAAGTTATTTCGATTTTGACGATTTACAGTAATAATTTTACATCTTTCATCTTTATGAAATTTTTGAAATAATGATAAATATCTTGGTGGTACTTTATGTACTTGAGGTATGGTTGCAATTACAAATGATTTATTTGAAGTTTCAAAAAATAATTTTACTATTTCATCTTGAAATTTTTGGCTAAATAATTCCATTTTTCCAATTTCATCTATAATCAATATGTCCTAAATAAAATAAAAAATTAATGATTTGATTACATATATATATATATTACATATATATATATGAATAAGTAAATAATATGTAAAACTATTTTACTTACTGCATTAGAATTAAAGATAGGTAATACTGCCACTTCAAAATTATTACGAAATACATGATAGTTTCCCACTTTATATTTAGAATATTGTGAGTGAGTTATGACGTTTCTGTTTACAAGTAATATTGTTTCAGATGAAAAAAAGATTAAATTTTATATACTTATAAAATAATACTAACTCAATTCGTGCCAATATTGTTCTTTCCTCACGATTTTTTACTAGCACAATATCAAATCCAATCCTATTACCATCTTGACCTTTAACTTCTTCAGTATAAAATCCATTAAATTTATAATTTTCTTCTTCTATCATTGAAACTAATTTTTTACATACTGTAGTTTTTCCTATACCTATAGTAATTTTAACTTAAAATTATTATAAATTCCTTTTTTTTAAATAAAATAATAAATAAAATTAATCAAAAAATTAATTTTCAAAAAAGTAAAATTGTTTTTATTTATTATATTATATAATATTTTTAAAATTGCATATGTTATAATGAAAATTCAAATTATTCAAAAATTTTAATAATTAAAATAAAAATATAAAGCATATTAAAACATTTAAAGGTTAGTAATAAATAATTTTTAAAATATTTCGTAATTTTTAAAAGTGGCGGACTTACCAGGTGGTCCAGTCAGAAGTACGCGTGAGATACGCAACGCGGCGCCGGTATCCATGCTTCTTGTTTTTCTAAGTTTAAGTAGTGACTGTAAGTGACATTTGCACATGCAAATAAAAATAAATAATCAAAACACAGAAAGAAAATATTTTGGATTAAATATAATTATTTAATCAGAAATGTATGTATTTCAAAAATATTGATAAAAGATTGAAATAGAAAGATAAAATTACCGCAACGTGGAGCCGCTGGATAGCGATCAGCTGATCGTGCTCGAGTAAGACAATCTGTTCGGGTGGGCTGAAACGCCTGTGTATATGTAAGTATCTAATACTTTGGTTGCGTTCAGAAGTGCGTTGGTGCGTGATACGCGTCTCATGTAACCTATGCTTGTGTGAGTTTGTGAGGTGTATATTCGCGACACGTCTGTCACAGAATAAATATAAGATCGACCACGACAAGACTTATAATAGTTACAACCTATAATAATCTCGTAAATTTGATTGCGCCACAAATTTTCTTATTCTGTAGGTTTCCCTGTTTTTCTAAATACATGAGATAGTCTTAGAATTTTGAAGTGCACGAAGGATTATTTAATCGAAGAAGAGAATACGGGCGTTCGTTACAGGATACATGGAAGAAAGGGACGAAGGGTGAAGACGACGGTTCTGTCCGTTTTCATATACATATCAGTATCTGCAAAGAAGAAATGGCTCGTCCTTCCAATTGTAATCCGCTTTCCTATCTCGTCGAAAGACAAATCGACGATAAAGTCGATTACTGTAAACGTCTCGTTAACGCTAGATTCGAAAGCTCCGAAAATTTGTTTAGGAAAGATCTATTATCGCATTATGGATGCGTTAATGCAATTGAATTTTCGAATCAAGGAGATCTTCTTGTTTCTGGTAAAAAGTTAACAATGTATTTTATTTATTTTATTTACGGTACTATGCCCGTCGACTTAGGAAATTCAAGTTTGACGGAAAATTAAAACCGTGTAATATTTTAAATATAAAATTATACAATTATACTGTATTATTTTTTAGATACTGATTTTTTTAATATATTAAATTGATTATTAAAATGAAAATATAATTTGACATATTTTATTGTTAATGTAACAGGTGGTGATGACAGAAGAGTTTTATTATGGAAAGTGGAGCAAGCAATACAAGATGTAGGCAAACCTGCAGTAATGAAAGCTCAACATATTAGTAACATTTTTTGTCTTGGTTATGATAGTAGCAAAACAAAAATATTTTCTGCTGGAAATGATGATCAAGTTATTGTTCATGATTTACGAACGTATGAAATTTTTATTATTAAAAAAAATTTTGTCTGATCATATAAAACTAAATAACTATTTCTTTTATAATAAAGGGGAGATGTTGTGAATTTCTTTTTACATCAAAAGCCTGTTTATGGATTGTCAGTACATCCACATAATGACAATGTGTTTGCAAGTGCATGCGATGATGGCAGAGTTTTAATTTATGATATACGAGGATCTAGTGCTATGGAAACATTTTGTTTAGCACGATATAAAACTGCTTTTCACTCTGTAATGTTTAATCCTATTGAACCTAGGATGCTTGCTACCGCCAATGCTAAAGAAGGTGTTAGCATGTGGGATGTAAGAAAACCTTTAAAGTAAGTAATCAATGCAAATAAAAAATATAAAAATATTTTATAAAAATAACAATCTTTTTGTATTTGCAGACCTATATTACGTTATGGAAATGAAACTTCAGCTCAAAGTTGCATGAATGTTAGATTTAATGCAGCAGGTAATAGATTATTAGCTTTGAGAAGAAGATTGCCTCCTGTACTTTATGCTGTAGACTCTTCTACTCATTTATGTCAATTTGATCACCCTGGATATTATAACAGTTGCACAATGAAATCATGTTGTTTTGCTGGAGATAATGATGAATATGTACTTTCTGGTAAATAATGCGCTATAATAATATTTATAAATAAATATAAATTTGTATATATATTTCAACTTATGATTTTAAGGTTCTGATGATTTTAATTTATACATGTGGAAAATTCCTTCTGAGAATGTAAAATGGGTAAATTCTGCACATATGGTATTACGTGGTCATAGATCTATTGTAAATCAGGTACGGTACAATCAAGCTAGTTGTATTTTTGCTTCATCCGGAGTTGAGAAACTTATTAAGATTTGGAGTCCGTTTCCTCTTGGAAGTAATTGCTTAGGTGGATTAAAGGTAATATGAAATAATTTTAATATAAAATGTATTAAGATGAGTAATTCAAGCAGATAAAAGATGATTTTATATGAAAAAATTTTAATTAATTTATTTTTGAAAAGTTTCTTGAAAACAAAAAAATTTATTTTTTTTGTTAAGTCATTTTTATATATAAAATCGCCGTTTATTTGCTTGTATCATTCATCTTGAAATATTCTGTATATATTTTTTAATATAATATAATAACATATACTATTATTTTTTTATATTTATACTTTAGAGAGATGATGGAAAACAAGAGAGGCAACGTAGAGTATTTACACATGATGAATATATTGGATTAGTATTACGTAGTGGTCAATTTATGACACATGATTATAGCCATCAATCAACCAGAGAAGATCCTAGAATGATGGCATTCTTTGATTCATTAGTACAACGCGAAGTTGAAGGTTGGAGTTCTGAAGATATGTCAACAGCACCTCAAACTCCTAGTGATTCTGAAAGTAATCTTATAGCTGGACGGGTTTATAGCGCAACAGATTCTGATGGTATTTTTAAATTAAAATTATATTGAAATAATAAGAAATTATTATAATAATATAATAATATATATTAATAATATTATAATTATAAAGAATTTTAAATAAAATATTAATATTTTTTTTTTTATAGATTCTATAGCATCTGATCGTCAATTGATGTTAAGTATTTTGGGACCTGCAGTAACATTGGCATCTCATGGATCCTCTGGAGGTGGTGTAGCTCCTGAAAGACCTTTAGAGTCTCCAAATCGTATAACACGACTTATAGCATATCGTAGAGAAAAACTAATGAGACTTGCAGCTGTAGATTGTGAACCAACAAATAATACTTCAGCTGCAGTGTCAGAACCATCTGCATCAGGTTCTGCTAGTGAAGGGGACAATACACAAATTAAGTGTAAATCTAAATCAAAATTAAAATTTATAAAAAGAAAACATGGTAAAATTACTGAAATCAGGAGAGCTGGAATAAAGTGTGCAGTGCTACAAATTAATAGTGACTCTGATAGTGATGAACAACCTGTTGATACAACTCAACCTAGTACCAGTTCTGGTGTAGTTTCTAGAAGATCAAGATATGTTGTGCATATTGAAAGAGATGCAAAACATTCAAATTATAGTAGCAGTAGTTCAGAAGATAATGATATTTCTAGTAAACGAAAACATTCAAAAACTGATTCTGATACTTCTACAAAAGTACACAGAAGAAAACATAAGAAATGTAAAAGTAATTCAAAAAGTGATATTTCTAAAAATAAGAGTAAAAGACAAAAAATTGATTACGATACAAAAAAAAAGAAATCAGATTGGAAGCTTTATTTAAATGATGTTAGTAATGCAATAAAAGTTCAAAAAGATGGTTCATCTATGTCAGTGAACAAATCAAGCAAAGTTCCTTCAACTCCTGACAGTGGTATCACATCAGGAGTGTCTACAAGTGAAAAAAATGGTGAACAAGCACAGAAAGATCAAAATGATGCAGAGAGTTCAGATCACGAGCAAAAACTAAAAAATCTAGAATATTTTAGAAAAAAAGTGAATGTAGTAAGAAGGAGCTACCGTATTCGATCTAAACCCTTGTCTCAAACTATTTCAACTACAACCGATTCTTCCGATTAAGCTCCTTACCTTTGACTTTTTAATCCCTTTCCTTTTGTACATAATAAATCTGTGATTCCTTGAAGTATATTTTTATAATACTAAGTTTGTTCACATGCGAATATGACCGGTTTTTCTATCTTCTTTTAGACTTTATTATTTTTCTGTTATCTTCATATGTATCCTACATTTTATTGGAATCTCTTATGATGCAAGACTGTCTTAAAAAAAATAAATCTTCTCTCACCATATTTAAAACAATTTTGATTATAATCTAATTACAACATTTCATAATTGGTACAAAGGGTTGCGAATTTAGTAGTCTCAAATGTTAAAAATTATTAACAATTGACGTCTCAATTATTTAGAATTCGATTTATTATAATAAAATAAACATGTTTGGATATGACCATTAAATCGTATATAATCGAAACTCCAGCAAGACACCGCCGAGAATTATAGGTAAATTAATGCTGCATTAGCTATAATAAATGATTCAGCTAATGTATATTGTTGACATGGTTTGTAAGTGTGATGGAAAATAATAAAACAATAAATTGATATACATTTTTTTCTTATATGTTTAGCTTTGAAAACAAATTAAGAATATTGCATTATTTAATCCTGCATTTATACGTCTTTATTAACTTATAATAAATAAAGGAAAGAATTATCTAAATTTATGCATTAATTTATTATCCAATAAATTTATATATCTCTATTTTATTTAATATCAAATATAAGTTTCAGTTTAATTTTAATATAAAGTATAAATATAAGAAATTTAAATTTAAATATGATTAATTTCTTTATGATGTCATTGTGTGGTATGAATATATATATATTTCCTGTAAATACCACTTCCTGTAAATAAATTCTTAGTTCTTCCAGTTTTAAAAGTAGTACATATAATGTTTTCTGATTGTTCACTTTATTAATATTAATAATTCAAAATGGTATATTTAACTTTATTAAAAATTAATATATGGTTTCCTATTTTTGTATTTATAATTTTAAAATATAATACATTAGCATATAATTTAGATGTTAATAATGTTAAAATATTTAATATTCCTAAAACTTTTAATAATCAACGAGGAAGTTATTTTGGATTTTCTGTTGCACTTTATACAGAAGGGCTAGATTCCATACTTCTTGTAGGTGCTCCCAGAGCAAATTCAAGCACAATAAAAAATGTAATTGAACCAGGTACTGTATATCAATGTTCAATTAATAAAACCTGTAAGGAATGGATTATTGATAAAAGTGGAAATGGTGAATATAGTGAGTGGAATCAAATTAAAGATAATGCCTGGATTGGTGCAACAATTGCTATAGAAAATAAAACCAATCCTAGAATTGTGGTATGTAAATTCTTTATTCATTTCTTCATATATATTTTTTAAATATAATTAATATCTGAAGATATAATTAATATTTTTTAATTAATTAATTAAATTTATAAATAGGTTTGTGGTCCACGATGGAAAAAAAAAGACAAATATAATTGGTACATGAATGGTATTTGTTACTTGTTATTAGTTAACAATATTAAATTTTTTGAAAAAGAAGTTGAAAACAAAATTTTATCACTTTCAAATTATTCGAATTTTATATATCCAAATAATAGAAAAGTTTATAATTTTGAAATGAGTCAAGTTGGTTTTTCAATGAATATGGTATCTGGATTAAAATGGAATTTAATATTAGGTAGTCCTGGTGTATTTAATTGGAAAGGCTTACCTTTATTAGTTAAAAAACCAATTTATGGGAAAATACAATTTATAATTCCGTCAACTAAAAATGAAAAAAGAATTCGTGAAAATAGTTATTTCGGTAAATAGTACACTTTTAATACTAATTATTTTTATAATATGAATCGTAAAAAACATTTATATAAAAAAATATTAAAAAATATTTATTTATTTATCAATAATATGTAAAATAATAATTTATAATTATACTTTATTTAGGATATGCAGTAACATCTGGTTATTTTATAAAAGGAGAATTATGGTTTGCTTCTGGTGCTCCAAAAGATTCAAATATGAATGGAAGTGTTATTATATTTACTTTTCCTGAAACTAATAATGCAATAATAAATATAAAGAAATTTTTAAGAGGTGAACAATATGGAGAATATTTTGGTGCTGCTTTAACGTCATGTAATCTCAATGGCGATGCTGAAGATGAACTAATTGTTGGAGCACCATTATGGTCAAGAGATATAGATGAAGGTCGCATATATGTATATACTGCTTTATCTAATGTATGTTGTATATTCTAAATATATTATATTAAAATATAACATATATATTACATTCAAACATTTAATATTAGGAAAATTTTAAAAAACAATCATTTGATGGAAAAATATCTGAAAGTAGATTTGGTTTTACTATATCTTGTCTTGGTGATATTGATTATGATGGTTATAATGATATTGCTGTCGGTGCACCATATGAAGAAGGGACTGGTGCAATATATATATTTAATGGCAATAACAATGGATTACTTAGACATTATAGTCAAAAAATAATTGGAAAACAATTTGGAAAAAATATTCGTGGATTTGGGATTTCAATTTCAGAACCTCGTGACATAAATGGTGATAAATATCCTGATATTGCAGTTGGAGCTTATTTATCAGAACAAGCTGTTTTAATAAAATCAAAACCTGTTGTAACAATAACTACACAATTGATTTATGAAGATAAAAAATTATTAATAAATTCTTCTTCTTTTTTAATTAATGTATGCACATATTATGATGGAATAAATGCTCCTAAACTCCTTCGTAAGTATATAAATAAATAATTAAATATTTATGATAGAATTGGATATATTTAATATAATATTTTTAATATATTTTTAATACTTAAATACTTATAAATACTTAAGAAATATTTAATATTAATTCTGGAATTTAATATTAAACAATGTTTAGGAGTTGTTAAATTTTTGAAAATCGATGAAATATATGGAAGGGCTTATTGTAACATAGAAAAAAATAATATTAATATTTATAAATTTTCCGAAACTTTACATAAATCTAAAAATTTATGCAAGAATATTGAAATACATTTAAAGGTAAAATTTTATAAATATGTTTAAAAAAAAATATTTATTTTTAATAAAAATATATTATATCTGCTTAATTTATTAGGAAAATATTCAAAACATAATAAATCCAATTGAAATATCTGTAAAAATTAGTTTGGAAAAGAACTTAAATAACAATGAGAGAAAATTGAATTTTTTTTGTACATCTTGTGCAATCATAAATAAATTACTTTCTAAAACTGAAGATTTAATAAAATTACCATTTGCTGTAGACTGTGGTGAAGATAATATTTGTACTTCAGATGTGAAAATATCACTTTCAACAGATTTAAAGTCTGGTAATAGATATATCATAGGATCTACATTTACTATTAAATTTAAATTAGATGTCTTTAATTATGATGAACCTGCATATCAAGCTAAAATATACATATATATACCAAAAATATTATCATTAGCAAGTATACCATCTTTATGTATAGAAAATTTTTATAAAAATAATACTTTAGAAGTAATATGTGATCTTGGAAATCCACTTAAAAAAAACGTAAATATAATTTATTTTTTATATTAAATATTAAAATATTTTTAAAAATATAACATAATTATATCTTTTTATTAGAAAAAATTAATATTAAATTTGGATATGAGTAAAATTCAATTTGATATTGATCATGTACAACTGTGGACCAATTTTAGTACACAAAGTGAACAAAAAAATTCATTCAATAATATAAATGTTTTTACTATATATTTTGATACTGATATCGATATAGCAATAACAGGGTTAGTATTGTTATGTTTATTAATTATTATTATTTAATTAATGATTCCTTTTTTTATATTTTCATATTTTATTCATATATAGATTGTTATTGATGACTACAATTATTTTCATTTAGGAAAGCCCAACATGATCTATATTCATATTTTCTTGAAAATGAAGATAAAAAATTAAACAGCATTCAGTTTCAACATATTTATGAAATTCAGAAATTTGGTGTTACTCCAATTAATGAAGTTATATTAACACTTAGTATTCCAACTTTCTGGAAGCAATCTATTGGAGATATACAAATTATCAATATAAATGACACAACTTGCAGCTATATGGATAATCAATTATTTCATTGTACCTATTTAAACTCTACAGTTTCAACTGCTTTAATTGATAATTTTAAAATTTATACTGCAAATACTGAAAAATACACATCAAAAAAGTTTATAACAGATTCTAATTTTTCTATAAATTTTCCATCTAAAAATAAATCACTTTATGTTGATTGTATAAATAACAATGTAAAATGTACATATATTAAATACAAATTGGGCCCATTTTTAAATTCTTTGTCTATTGCAAAATTTTCACTTATATTAGATTTTTATTTATTTAATTTTAAATGTAAGGTTTTGTCTAATATATTTTTATATAATTTCTAAATTATAATATGTTTAAAATATTATTTTTTAAAATTTTTATTACAGCAATGATGGCAGGAAAAGATATTATATTTTTTCTATCTAGCGGAAATGTTAGTATTTTGGAATCAGATCATATTATTCAAAAAATTGGACATAAATCTGATAATGTTATTGTGACTACAATGTTTTTAAGTTCATTAATAACTGAACAAATTGCTACATGGATTATAATTTTATCAATTTTCTTAGGAAATTTATTATTAATATTATTAATTTTAATATTATTTAAAATCGGATTCTTTAAACGAAAAAAAAAGAGAGAACTTGAAATATTAAAATCTGAAAATGTAAGTTTATTGAAACATTTTAATTCTATATTATAGATATTTAATGTTCTTATTACATTACAGAAAAAACATAGAAATATGTTGGAAACATGTTCATCAATAGAAGTTTTTCATCAAGAATAAATTTATTAATATGTTTTTATAATATATAATATATATTTTATACATATATATTTTTTATTCTTTATATATTAAGAAAATAAAATAAGTAACAAAGTATTTTGTATTCTATTAACGCATTCAAATTGTATCGCTATTTTTATAAAAATATAATAAATCTTAAAAAATATTAATTTGGCTATAAATTTTCAACTATAAAGCTTAAAAAGATTTTATTACAAATATTTTATTTTATTCTGTTTATAATTGATTATATATTACTTATTTATCAAAACATAAATGGAGCAAATTTATTTTAAATAAATAATCTTATATTTACAAAAATATTAATTTTGTTAATAGAGATTTAAGCAATTATATTTCTTGTTATTATTTACTAAAATATTCTATGCCAAAAATATACTTAGCTGCCTTTTAAACATTCCTAACATATTGTGTATATATTTCAGTTAGTAATATTTATAATAGAATTCATTTTATATTAAATAACAATAAGAGAGCATAACTTTCATTATATGTGAATTTTTATTTGAACTTACTTTAGTCATCCAAACCTAGGCCTTTTGAAATTTCTTCTGCTGTTAGATTATGTCCTGAAGAAGAATCATTAGAAGCAGAACTATCAGAAGGTCTCATAGAATTTGATGTATAAGTTGATGGGGGAGTTGAATGATTATCTTCGTGAGATTTCTGTATAAAAATAATTATATAAATAGATTAAAAAATTTTTATATTTATAATTCTTAAAGCATTTTATACTTACATCTTTACCATGTTTTGTAAGACCTCCTAAAGCTGAACTAAACAAAGAAGAGCCAATTGCTGATCCTATTCCAGATAAAAGATCTGAACCTGAATTTGATTGTTGGTTAGAATATCCACCAGAAGGTTGATAATTTCCATAACCTCCTGAAGGCTGATAATTTGATTTTTGATTTCCATCATTACCAAAAACACCACCAATAATAGATCCTAAGGCTCCTGTCAATGGATCACTTGGCTGATTTGTAGGAGGTGGTGCTATATTATTTCCACTACTTCCACCTTATGTATATATATATATATAAAATTAGTATATTAAAATTTAATTGTAAAATTTTTATGATTTTTAATTAATATAAATATGATTTGTAATGAATAATAAATATTATTATTATCAAATATTTTTATATTTTTTAATTTCTATATTTAATTATTATTGAATTATATAATTATCATTATTTATAAACAAATTAAAATATCTTTATTATAATTTGAAAAGAGTTATTTATTTTTAAAGTATAAGATGTATCTATTATATCATACCTAATGCTCCAAGAATAGAATCTAATACACCACCACTATTACTTGATTGCTGGGAGGGATAGCCTTGTTGTGCATGCGAATTACTTAAAGCATTGGTCACTAAACTGCTTGCTAAAGCTGCACCCAAAGAGCCAAGGTTTCCTAAGCCACTTTCACTTTCTGTTTTTGATTTAGAAGCATCAGACTTTTCTTGATCTTTTTCAACTTCTTCTTTTTTTTTCTAAATTATTATACATAATATTATATATTATTATATATTTAATATATATATATATATATATATATATATTACTACTTTTGAAATATTCGGATTATATACATTTATAGCATGTGCAGCAGCTGCTATACCTCCTGCAGCAACTAATCCTCCTAATGCAAGGCCTACTTTATCCAAACAACCACTAAATGCATCTTCTTCTTCAGGCTTTTCATATCCAGGTTGATATCCATATGATTTTGGAGGAAAACCTCCATATGCATTAGGTGGAGGACCATAACCAGGACCTGAAGGTGGTGGACCATAACCAGGACCTGAAGGAGGTGGGCCATAACCAGGACCTGGAGATGGACCATATCCACCTTGTATTGTAGGATATAATCCTCCAGGAGCTAAAAATTAATAGCAATTTATTTAAAAAATAAATTATTATAATATAATATTATTAATTTATATTATAATAATATAATATAAATCTAATTACACAATTTTTAAAATTGTTCACCTATCTAATTGATAAAAATATATATATACATATATATATAAAATGTTTAATTACGTGGTGGGCCAAAGTTAGCAATAGGTACATCTGGTGTAGATAATACTTTAGGAGAATTAGGCGGATCTATAGGTACAATTTCATATGAGATGGATTGTATTTCTACATCACCATCAATAACCAAATGTGTCACTTTATCATATGATAATCGATGATTAAATTCTGTAAAATGTCTGCCATTTATGGCAATTTTATAACATTTATGATCACATAAAAGAAGAATTTCAAATTCTTGGCCAGGTTGTATCAACATAGGACCTTCATTTTCTTCTATACCCCAAGTCATTGATTCTATATGATTTCTAGTAATAAATCCTTCTGGAAAGCGTGGTGAAACATGAATAGCTATATCATCTCTTGGATTTAAATTAGGTCCTAGTTGATAATTTATAGCAAAACGTACAGCATCAGGAGAAACTTTGCCTTGAATTTTTACCATTTTTCCAGGTTTTAAACCTCCTTCAATGGATCCCACATAAGGAATAGGCTATTTAAATAAAAAAATTATTTTTAAAGATAAATTAATTTAAACAAAAAAAATATAAAAATGTATTATTATTTTGAAACATAAACATAAAATAAAAATATAAAATATGAACTTATTAAACTATATAAATTAATTACTAGATAAATTCAATTATTTTATATTTTTATTTAAATTGCATTAAATTGCATTAAAAAATTATATTATTGTGTTGTCATTTATTATTTTGTTCTATTCTTTCAATTCAATTTTGTTATATATTTAAAAAAATTTTTTATGTTATATAATATGATTTTTACATAGAAAATTGAAAGTAATTTGAAAAATTTAATGAAATAATTCATTTAATATATGGACAAACTAGATTTCATTGTAATTATATCAGCATTGCAGATGTATGTATTCTTTCTTAATCAATCAAAAATGACAGTCATTTTGTTACTTTTATTAGGTCAAATAATTCTTTAATCTATAAAAATAATACTTACAGGATTTAATATTGGCTCAGATGACATTATTATAATTTGATTCTACGTTGCAAATATAAATAGAAGTTTATATCTTAATATGCAATTACAAAGTAACAAATACTGTATAGATGGAGAATTCCGCACTTCTCTTGCGCTTCTCTCAAGACATTTCTATTTAGAGTGCTGACGTTTCCAGCTTGAACTATGCAATGCGGCACAAATTGTATATAATGTAGTTTAAGGCGCGCAATAGTTTCTTTCGCGCATGTATTTTCAAATTCTTTTTATTTACTGCAATGACATATAGAAATAATATAAAAAAAGCGCGAATTCAAACTTGTTTCATATTTAAATACAATAAACCAATCAAATTGTTCTATTTTAAAAATAAATCAAAAGTATGTATATGATAAACCAATTATAAGAAAGGGATGATATAATGTATTATATTTATAAAACTAGTTATTATATATACATGTTGAAATATTATAGATTATAAAATATATAGATATATAAAATATTTCCAATTTTATGGATTAAATGCTCCAATTATCATTTAAAGATTGTATAATTAATTAGTGGAATAGTTACAAGCGAACACGCGTGTATTATCGCCTACGTTCATTTTCGTTCGCATTGTTTAACACTACAGGAAACTAAATAAACCGTTCATTGAGATGTAACAGTCTCACTGCCAGAGAGAGTTTCTTTCACCTAGAAAAATTAAACAGTTAAATGGAAACAAGTTAATAGTGAGCAGAACCGGATCAATGTAAATCAATAAAATCGATGAGGAAACATAAAAACAATCTACATATAGCTTATTTCCTAACCTAAATTTTTATGTTTCTGTTTCTTTCCAAGTATGTTTCTTTTTAAGGAAATTTAAATTTGTTTTAATTTTTAATTATTATAATTATTATATTAATATTATATTAATATATTATATTAATTTTGTATAAATTTGTGATCATAGAAATTATAATTCAATACAATTCAACATTATCACAATTAAGATATTCAAATATTTATTAAAAGAAATTTTTGCATTTGTAAATCATGTACGAATTATAAGGTATATATATTTTTAAATAAAAAATTTTTTAATTTCATAACTTTTAAATATTGAAATATTGAATATCAAAAATAAGCAATTAGTTAAAATATTATTTCTAATTATTATTATTTTATTTTTAAATAGAATTCATCTATGTGTATTACTGACGTATAGGTAACGAATGTCAATCAGATATGTAAGCAGACGTATTGTGGCTATAAATTGATCATTTTACCTGTACATTTCCAGGGGCCACATATAAGGTGTGTCGCTATAAAACGTATGTGGAGCGTGCGAGGGCTAGGCATGGCGCACCCATAATAAATAGAATATAATAAATTAATCGAATTACACAATTTTAATCCTTATGAATTACTTTGACTTTAAAAGGTCAATGTTTAAATAATTTTTTAAACTCTTATTGGTAAGCATTTATTTTGTTGATATAATATTTATAGAAATAGTTATATAAAAAAATAGTTGTTTCGAACGTAACAAAAAATCAAACATGCGGGTCAAAGAAACATGAATATTGCATATACTTTACTTTAAATATATTTTGTTACTATATCGAAATATCCTTGTCAAGTTCATGGCCTGTATTTAAGGATCAATAAAGGATTTCTTCTATTTTTATCTATACTTCACTATAATTCAATTAATAAATTTTTGCTAATCTTTATATATGTTTGTCGATATTTTTGGAAAAAAAAAATATATTTATATTTTTATTTTGTATTATATTTTTATTTTAAAATTGATTGTAGAGAGAAAGAATTTAATGTAAGAAAGAAATTGGAATATCCTTTTTTTATAATTATTTTTATTTTTTATTTTATTAAAATAATAATTTTTTATAAAACAAAATTATAAAAATATTCTTTTAATGTTAAAATTATCAGTGAATATAGGACTGAATCAAGGCAGGACTCGCCGACAAGATCAATAAGCAACGTACCGACCCTTCTTCGCAAGGTTTTTAATGCTTTCTTATAAATGCCCTTTCACGAAGCCTTTATATATGTACATTGGACCTATCCCTACAAAAATCCAGATGTCTACTATAAAGCCAAAATGATCTATACACAACATACGTAATCTTCAGTGAGAAATATTTCCAACTACGATTTTTTTATAAAAATAATGATTGCAATATGTGCAATTGTAAATTTGGTAAATTGAATAATTAAAAGGATTTGTAATTTTAATATTTAAAATATTTATAATATAAGATTTTATTTAATAGAATAATTGAAAAATTAAAAATATAAATTAATTAATATTTATAAAAAACAAATTATTAATTTAGCAATTTAATTTAAATTAAATCTTTTTCATTATTTTCTTTTATTCCAAAATTAACGAATTATTAATACTAAAATTTACTGATACGTCAATAATTCATATATTTTAAAAAATTGATAATAATATAATTTATTATAAATTAAAAAATTTTTTATGTTCAATTGTTCGACAATTATAGATATTTTTCGAAATATATCAATTAATATATTGATATACATTCTATTTCATAAAATTTATAAGAACTTTAAGTATTTTTTTTATGAATTTGAATTGAAAAACTAGTACAAATGCTGCCATCTAATTTGGAATTGCGGTTTTACGTACGCAGATCATATGCCGGTTCATAACGTATTTTATACAAATGATTAAATATTTTATATTCTGAAGCACGTATCCTTTGTTATAGAGTTTTGAACTGTAAAAATGTACATATGAGCGCATTAAATGTGAATAGAGCCAACATTGATCATGAAATAAATGTATCTTAAATTTAATATTTTTGAGAATTGTAATACTTCTTTAAGAAGTTTGTATGATATAAAAAAAATTTTTAAATTTCATATCGTCATTTCGAAGATACAAAATTATTTTAACGATTAGTTTTTTTAATTTATTAAAATTAAAAAATTATAAATATGTAAGATAAAAAATAAAAAAAAAAATTAAATTTGTCAAGAGTCAATTATCGTCAAAATAATTTTAAATAGAAATCACGATATTGTACATACGTATACGAACAAAAAGTGAAAGTATAAACCAAACTTTAATTTCAAATAATTTTAAATATTTTTTAAACATTGTCTTAAACATGCGTCTTAAACAAGTTTGGTTATAATAGTGGTGGTTGTAGTAACAGTAGTATGGAACAGTACGATGGTGATGGTGGTAGTGGTGCCTAATACTCTTTTCAGCCCTCGGCCGACAGTTCAACGCAGCCTGTAGTGTTCGACGGTCGTACGTCTATCCAGTCGGACAAAATTTTATAACTACTTTACGTTTTTCATTCTCTCTTATTCACATTTTATCAACAATGCAACAATTTATAAACTTTTAAACTCTTAAATCGAGAAAAACAGATATTTTCTTTCATCTTTCTCTTTATTCTTCCTTTTCATTTTTATCTCTAGGAATATAAATATAATGCAGGTGATTCGTTGAATGTGATTGAAATTATTTTGTGCCAGTGAATTTGAACATGATACTTCGAAAGATTCGATCGAGAAAAACGGATTTTCAATAATGGATTGTTCGAGTATTCAATGGGGTGAAATAATGGTGAGAGAATATTTTATATTATGTTATTATATTATATTACATTATATTTTTTTTATTTTATTAAGAAGTAAAATACAATATATACAATATTTTGTACGGAAAATGTAGAATAAAATGAAAGTATATGTACATTGATCGAGATGTTCTATAAATTGGATAATTTTATTGTACAAATTATTTTATAAAATAATCAAATTTATAAATTTTTAAAATTAGGTTTCAGCTACGATAAGAAGATAAGTGTAATAACTTTCCCCTTTATCATCTTTTCCTTCTTTACCATAGTAAAAAAAGGGGAAAAGAGATAATTTAAGAGTCGAAGTCAAAGGTTGATAAAGATAAAGTGATTCTTCTCGAAAATATAATTAAAAAAATCGACTTTAGATATGAACAAACGTTTCGTTTCTTGCGTAGACGCTACAAGTGTCAATGTTCATTATCGATGGGGGAAGAACATCTTTATTTTAATATTTGAGATAAGAAGATGAAAACTTCTTATAATAAACATTTGTGTCAATTATGATTTGTTGAAATACGAATTTTAATAATTTTAATAATATTGTTATTCTAAAGTATGAACAAAACATTTGAATTTTCACTTTGTTTATAATTTCAAAACAAATTTTTAATGAGATTTTTTGCATTAATGTAATACAAAAATAGCTAATTTAATATCAGTTTTTAATTTAAAATATTGCACGTAAAAAATTATTTAATGGAATCTAATAATTGATATTATATCTTTATTTATTTATAATTATTAAAAACTATTTTATATTTAAACATATCATAATATTTTAAAAATATTATTTCAAGAAAATTAGAAAATACTCCTACGTTTAATTGAAATCTTAATGCCAATGATTCCTTGTCGCGTTATAAAATTACAACATTAATAGTTTTATAACTAACCTTGATTTAACTTCGTTCAATATTCTTACCATTATTCTTTTATATACATTGTCCATGTTTCACACGTCTTCTTCTTCAGAGTCTTCTTCAAAGTCTCCAGAAAACGAGCACTGTAATGACGTAATTCCTCAAGTAGATAAACCGTGTCCGCTTTCTGTCATATCGTGTTCAATACCTTAATTAACTTTACGTCTTCAAATGTATTTACGGTCAATTCTCTATCCATGTTTCTTGAATTCTGATGAAAAAAACGAAATATCCATGTTTAAAACGAGAACAACAATTAACAGGAAGACATACCGCGATACCACCTTGATTCGAAAAGTCAAGACATCCGTGTTTCGCGTACAGGGCCCTTAATTGGGTTTAATTAACGATCATCTGTCTTTGTCATTGTGACTCACAAAGCGAATGTAACTTCTTGTATTTATCTCGTTTTTTCTTGTCACTATTCTTTTACTTCCACACTCTGTAATTTTTTTTTTTTTTTTTATTATATACAGCTTTGTCAAACCTGTGTATGCGTTTCAGATATTAATTATAAAACATTTTGTTATAGGTATTGTAAATTGAGAATCGTGATGAGGATCGAAACGTAATTTATGAACAAAACAATTGTTTTGAGAAATTCATATTTCACAAAATTGATATTTAAAGAAAAGCGTAAACGGAGCGGATATAGCAAAATTGTAATGTTACACAAATAGACATTGGTATTTGTCCGAAGATCATGGATCGTTCCGTTTGTTTGAATCTTTTCGTTTATAGGTGTGCTGGACTATTTTATCGTCATTCTGTGTACATCAAAATACGTTTTGATTCAAATTTCATCTATAAATAATTTTTTTCTCTGTCTTTTAATTGTCTTTACTTATTATAATTTATTTTTATTATCTTTCCTTTAAACATATCCTTTGTTTTAACTTATATTATTTGTGTAAAAGCTAAGAATAAAATTTGTAACATCTAGATATGAAAACAGGATAACGTATAACTCGAGGAAAATTACCCAACAGGGGTAACATTCAAGGATGAATCATTCCCAAAATGAAATGAATTGAACGATCGATATCAAAACTACACGAACGAATTTCGCGTGCAACTTATAACATTAGAACATAAGCCAAGCATATGCATAATAGATTTAACGATAAGGTGATGCAATTATATAATTTTAATATTAATTTACGCCGTAATTTAATCCGATGACTAAAGCAAGCATTGAAATATTTATTTTCTTTGATGATGTAGATATCGAAGATAAATGCAATTAATTAATTTATTAAAAATATAATGTTAAATAGATTTTCATATTTATATAATGGCGGCGGAAAAAAATTGCTTGACGCAACGATTACACGGTTGGAAGAATATTTGTATAAAATGTACGTACACCTTGATAACAGCCGTGTTGAATATAAAAGTTCTTTCACAAAACTTACCTTGGATGACGATAATGCTAAACAATCGTTATCGTTCATATCGTATAGTACCCTCCCACCGGTATGCTTATCCTATAATCTTGCATATACTTCCGGTTACGACAATTATTATGTTATGCGTATGAAACAAGTCTGGATAATGAAGAAAAAACTATATAAAAAAGCTGTGGACAATGGTGGTAAAATTAAAATTACGAAATTATTTGAGAGATTGAAAAGATATTCCGCCAGCAACGATAGAAAATATATCGAAATTATTTTATTTGTTTATCATTTTCATCTTAAAAAATTAGTAAGTAATTTCATAAATAATTTATTTTTTATTAGCAGAATCAAGCGAGAGCGGTATCCATGTAAAAGCATCGAGGTCCCGACGATTATCGAAGATGTCGAAGAAGAGGGCTTAGCATGAACCACGCCGCTACATTTAGAGTGTTGATACTGATCCTGATCCTCGGTGATCTCGAATCGGTCACAGTGGTGAACCATCATCCGGACGAGGAATATTTCCTTGAGCATGAAGTCCTCTACGAGGAGGCAATTAACGAGGCGAAAAAGTTGCAGCTCTATCCCGGTAACTTAACGTACTTAACATACATCCCACTTTTCAATACTAAAAGCGTTACATGTTTGAAGCCCCTTGTCCGACTTCATTCTAACGTCTGGTCTATAAAGCATCTTTACGAAGCACCGAAAATCTATTTATCTTTCCTTCCGAAAATAACTTCCCTTTGATCCGCTTAAACAGATACTTCGGTTACTTTCAACCTCACACGATCAATTATAACTTGAAGAAATCTCATTTTATTAATTGGCCTTTATGTTCAACTATTGCAGCGGGTATGGATGTGAAAGGTATTCGATCGAATGATTGTCGCTTGATTTAGATTCTAGATTTGTTGCATGATCTGCAAAGGCTACCTTCTTTTTTTTTTTTTTTTTTTTGTTTTTGATATCTGAAAATATAATTGTTAGAAAAAAAAAAGATCTTCTTGTTCTGTTTTTTTTTTTTTTTTTTTTTTTTTTCAAACGTAATAGTTATCGTGAACAGGAAGTGAAAAACCAAGGTTACTTGTTTTGTTTGACGATTTCAGCTTGTCAGCGTATATTTCAGTGATTTGCAACATATATACAATTCTGAGAATAGTAGTATTTCTGATGCTATTTCTGAAATTATCCTTGAATAAATCAATATCTGTAATTCATGCAATTTTAATATTTTCGCTCGCTGGTAGCTTTTTTATTTTTTTATTTGAACTGTATCCTTGTAATAAGGTTAATCGTAATAAGATCCAGATTTAATTTAATTTAATTTAATTTTATTATTATTATGTATATACTATTTAATGATAAATAATAATATCTAAATATTTAAGATGACATAACATCAGTATAATCTACAACATCACGACACAATTTCAAAACAATTGTGTAAAACCTCGAGACACCAATTAATGTGAATTATACATGTACTCTCTCGATTTGATGAGATTATAGTCTCGTTTAATAACAGTTCTATGTTATAATCGAAACGAGGATAATGAAATGTAATTTTTAATTAATTGAACATTAAAAATCTGTAATTTTTTTTACTTACTTAAGGAATATGGGATGTTCTTTCTATGTTATAAAAGATTCCAATGCTCTATGCTCGTTTCTACTTTAAAAATACATAAAAATGTTTTATCTTCAATAAGAAGAATATTATATTTCGTTCAATTTTGCAGGACCAATCCCAGGATGCAAGCCTTGCACGAATACAGAGATGACTTACTGCAAAGATGAAAGTGTGATAAATGATCATTGTTGTTGCGATGGCAGTGTTAACGGTAAGTTCTTTAACAATGTTCTTCTATCTTTTGGAAAAGTCTTACAACGATGCAAAACTTTCTATATTCTATATTGCATTATACATTCAATGTTGCAATGATTATGGAAAATGGAACCATCACCTTGATTTCTAATAGATTTCTTTGTTTCACTTTTTTACAATTACTTGTTGCTTGTGTTTTTAGGCGTGTCCTTCATCGATTTACGTGTAAAAATCGATCAAAAGAAAGAACGATGTGTGTGCGAACAATTCGTGCGTGAAGAATTGACCATACAAACGATGTCGGTTTGATTATGCAACACTTCGCAACGAATCATGATAATAGAATCTAAAATTGTCACAGTGTTTATAATTCCTACTACGGAATAATAATGATCTTGTGATCTAAATTTAAAAATATAGGATATTATAATTAATGAAACAATTTTTCCAAATTGTTATCAACGAAGTTATTGAACGAAAAATTTGAACGAAATATAATATTCTTCTTATCGAAGATAAAACATTTTTATGTATTTTTAAAGTAGAAACGAGCATAGATATATCATTATAAAAATAAATAGCACGAAAATATTTTCGATCAATCTAATATCTGATCCGCAACGAAATATAAAATGGAAACATTTTTTGTTTCGAGAAAGAGAAACTTTGAAGAATGACACGTGAATTTTTGCGAAGTATCTTCAAATCCAGCTGAACGGAAGGACAATCACCTGTTCAGGAAATCATCGTTGTTCGTTTAACGATTCATCCTTGTCAGGCACACGCGAGTATAATGCGTTCGCGCACAGGGTGGCTATACCAGGTGATTCACGCAAAACACGTCGCATAGCCGTTAAACAGGAACACTTGGGTATTCCGCGCGTTCTTCGTTCGTACTTTTTACGTAGCTATCGGCCATTCACCTCTAATTCCATTTATTCGAATTTCTAATTAGTTTAATCTTTCCGGTGACCTTGTTTCGCACAAATAAGTAATATCTATTTGTTTAAAATCGTCCGCCATTTTCATTAGGGTATTCATTGTCTTTTTTTTTTCTTTTTACTTGCAAATGAAAACTTGCTAATAATTTTTTCTTTTAATAACAATTCTTTTAAAAAAAATATTAAAAATGTTAATAATTGCAAATAGATACATTTTTTAAAATAAAATAAGTAAATATTTAACAAGTTATCTGTGTATAGATAAATAATTTTTGCGTATTTTTAACGAGAAAGATAATTAATCTTTTGAAGTGAAACATTAAAATTTATGTTGAAGATAAGTCCTTAAAATAATTTATTTTGTATTGTATAAGTATTTTTTTAGCTGTAACGTACGAGAAACGTTTTAATGATTCCTGAAAAACCTGTAAACAGTTAATTTTGTAACAACGCTTTATGCTAGTTAGTCTTGCTACTGTTAATGCGTGCCAAGTTTATGCGAATGACAATGATGGTAGTAGCAATAAAATTGCATTGCTGCACGCATCGTGTACACGAATCGAATACATGAGTTCGTTTTGATCAATCTTATGAATCACACGTTCTTCTTTCTGCTTATTTCTAATCAATCGATTCGATTATGCACAGTATACTATAAATAACAGTAGACTAGAAATAATAATGAAAATTCATTCTATTCATTCCATAAATAATTAAAGATCGTATAAAAAATAATTCAAAAAATTTTATCCACTGCTAGTAGAAAAAAAAAATTAAAGGAAAGAAATTCCTCTTATAAATTAACTTCTGAACATTCTAAGATAATGATTTTAATTCGAATAGTATTCTTATCAATTATTAAGTATTCTGTTCCGATTGATATGAAATTGGAAACCTTTAATACTCTCATTACGAATTGATCGTTAATACAAGTAATAAAAGTTAGGTTAGTTTTATTTATCGTGATATCTCCATTATAAATCCAAAAATATTAGTTAAAACTTTATTAATTGAAAATAAACTTTTTTTTGCTCCCATAAAACAATTGAAGTTAAAGAATATTAAAAATATTCTGTAAAAAAAATATTCTTGAAAAAATTAAAAGTATTTATCGAAATATTCATATGATATGAGACCAATTGAACGAATTTCTAATGTAATCTCTATATGTAATTATTTTAAATTGATTTTAAACTTTTCTTAAATATCGAAATTCTGTTCATTGCACTTATGAATCTATTGTTTCAGAGGTATTTCCCTTCGTGACGCACACTTGTCGTGTCGGGCCCGAGGAATGCAAAGTGCAAGCTGGAGATTGTGCTGAATACGCGAGGTTACGGGAATGTTGTTGTCATTCTTACTTAGCTTCTATTTGTAAGTTACTTTTTAATTATAATTATGATAAAACATATTAGATATTGTTGCATAAACGCAAAATTGACGAGAGCGAGTAAAATGAGCGTAATTTTATAATTAATAGAAGAACGAAGAAGAATAGATAGATTAGAACAATTTTCATAAAAAATATATCTTGGAAGATATTAAAAGTTTAATAGAAAGATTATTCATTGTAAGATATTTCTTAGGCAATTTTCTGTTAAATTCTAGTAGTTGTAGAATTTTATTTCACGTTAAATTCATTTCTTTCAGGGAAATATTTAGCAAATGCAGCAGGATCATCAACGAATATAAATCTTATAAAGTTCCTGGCGATATTAACGGTGCTCAGGTTGCTCTTTCAGCCGGCCTAATTAATAATACACGTTTAATACCAAATATTTTATATATACATAAAAGTTTTATTTTAATAAATTATTTTTTCATCGTACAAGAAATATTAAAGACAAATGAATGTTTATGACACGTGGCAACGAAAGTGAAATTTTTACTAATTTGATAGAAACAATTTTTGCGATTTCTCGTGTATATAGTATATGAAGAAATGTAATTGTACAAAGAAATATAAATGAATATAATAGTGGTTGTATTTGTATTTTAATGGGTGAAATGCAACGAATAATGTGCAAACGTGTATCTGAAATCTTATTTTAATTTTTTTCTTTCGTTGCGGATGTGATGCAATTTTACGTAAACGATAGTTCCTTAATTATAAACAATAAGATAAAACGATTACACGAGACGCGTAAAAATTTGCTCACAATTGAATTATTGCAACATTATCGTTACTTAAGATAAAGAAGAATTTACCGTATAAAAAACTTATTGGACGAAACAAAATATAAATATTATTAAATATTTTTAATAATATTTTAATAATAGATAATTTAAATAACTAAAGGAAATTATTATAATTTATATAGGCCATAAGACAAAAATTTTATAAAATTTTTTTTTATGGTTGGCAATAAAATTTTATGGTTGCGAAATTAAACCGGATCTGTACAGTATTTAACTTTCTATCAAATCAAAATTCGTCCCTGATTCGCACTTTTTCTCAATCTCAGAAAAGATAATCGAAATTTCAATCTAAAACGATAAAAAATACATTAAAAAATATTATTAACGAAACGATTAAAAATAGATTTAGAAACTTATCTAGAATTCGTTTAGCGATTGATCTCATTTTTTACTTATCGTTTTAAAAAGAGAGGAACATCTGAATCTGTTACGAGTAACGGGTATTTGCTGATCGACCATTAAAGTGATTCTACTGTAAGTGAGCGTGTTGTAACTATATACGTTGCATAAGTTTTGAAAAGAAATTGAAATTAAATCTGCAGAAATTTATTTTGTCCGAAAGTGTACCTATATTCGAAAGTGTTAAAAAGTGTGTCTCGATATCTAGTGAAAAATATGCATATTATCATGGTAATATTCGCCACCATTCTGATTATACAATCGTATACTATTGCTGAATCAAGTGAGTATATTGACACTTATAATTTCATTCAAAATTATCAATCTTATTCAGAAGATACTATTGATGTACATTTTTATTTTATTTGTTTACAAAAATATTTAATTCTTCAATTCTAACTTTGAAACAATATTTATATATTTTATCTTTTTTAACTTATATGCTAATAAGGTGAACAGAGCAGCATATTAGACAATCAAGCAAAAGAAAAAAAATTAACATTACCATTCACATCAACGTTGCAAACGGAGTCATATCAAGACAATATTAAATATTATAATTTTCTAACGGATTATATTTATAGACCTCTTCAAAACAAGTAAAGTATATTTTGTAATTAATTGCTAATACAAATTTTAATTTTTTAATTTTCTAATTTCTCTTTATTTTTCAGGAAATGTCCATTGTGCGACACTTCTGTTCTTCCTTATTGCGGAGAAAAATTATTGCACGATGCATGTTGCTGCACAGATCCTTATACATACGATTTACCTTACCAATGTAAATTAGCGGATTGTCGATTTTTGCATGCGAATAGTTGCAAAGAACATCAGTTAATTGCAATCTGTTGCTGTAGTGATGATTATCGATCTTTATTGAAGAGTTTTTCAAATTAAAAAGAAGAATTTATCAAAAAAAAGTTATGAGCGAAGTATATTCAATAATATTAGTTTGATATGTTCTATTTCATTAATATTATAATTAATTCATATTTAATTCAGTAGCTTCATATCGATTATTAATTATTATCTCAAACAGACAGTTAATATAACATTAAACAATATAAATAAAATAAATATATATATATATATTATTTATAAAAATACAAAATATTTAAAATATATGTATGATAAAAATATAAAAATATAATTCTTTTTTACCATTTAATTAGTAGCGCCATCTCTTTGAAAAATGTTCAAATTTATTGCATATATAATGAATCAATAAAAAAACAAATAAATAATTAAAAAATAAAATTAATAAATAAATAGTTAAAAAAATAATTAAACATTTAAAAAATAAATCACTTATGTCAAAAAATATTTAATTTATCATTTATAGATAATAAACAACAATTTTTCATCCGATCATAATAATATATTGATAATTACGAATAAAACATGCGAAACAATTGTAGTTATAAATAAATATATTTTAAATAATAAATAAAAACGAAAAAATATAAATAAATAAACGAATAAAACGTGTATTTGAAATTTACGCATAATTTTATATTATATACAAATAACTTTGATGTCAAAAGAAATTTTATACAATATTTAATAAATATATCATTATATTATAAATTATTATATCATATTAATAAATTTTGAAATTAATAAAATATTAATATAATCTTAAAAATTATAATTCATATTTAAAAATTTTCAGTTTTAAATTTACATCTAATTATTACTTACGTAGTTACCACTACAATTACCTTCCGCTGTTAATAGCGCCATCTCGACTTCTATAATGTTTAGTGCGCATTGTAATGCGCATGACGTCAGTCTACAGTTGAAAATTATGGTGATAGATTGTATTTCATAAATTCTGTGTAATTATATATTTAATTGTGTAATTTATTGCCTTATAGTCTTGAATAATATGTGTTTGTTTTAATCATTAAGCAATATTTCAAAATTAAATAGTTTTTTTATATTTTTTTATCATTTACGATACTCTTTTATTTGACAATTACCGGTTGCTTGTATCAAGCCTTCGATTCGAATTTGATTTCAATTATTATTTCGTTTTAATATTATTTTAATATTATTAAACATTTATTTTACAATTGTGATTTTCGTTTGTGTAAATTATTATTCGATTGTCAACATAATTTCAATGATAAATGTATTTAGAATATTTCCATATATATATGTTCGATATATTTCTATATATATGTTCCATATATGTTTGTTGTCAATCTATCGAACATATTCCTTCCCATACAAATTTCAATAATAGAAATGTCGCGAGTCGTAACGCGTCATTCTGTCGTCGAAATTCGTACCGATTAGACGTGTTAATTTGTAGCAGGTACTACTTATTTCAGTAATTATATTTCTTAATATATATTATTTTTTGTTTTTTAAATATTATTTTTTAATTAATACGCGTATATTCAATCACTAATTATTATTATAATTAATAATTTTTTGAATAATAAACTATTTTTTATTTACTTATTTAATCGTTTAGAATCAGTGTTTGTTTCGGAATAATTCATTTAAATTTTTTAATGGATAACGCGAAATTAGAGTCAGTGTTTGCTTCGTAATAGTTTACTTAAATTCTTTGAAATAAATAACGCGAAATTAGAGTCAGTTTGTTCATCGATTATAATTTAATAGTTAATAGTTTAAAATGTTCGTTTCGGATACATATTAAAATCAGTGTTTCTCTCAAAAAGAAGCTTCCATATCCTCCTACACAATGATGTTCTTCACGATGGACCACTTTCTAATAGATCAGCAACATCTTCGCATCTAATGGTGAGTCGCATGCATTTTTTTTCCTCCGGTCATTCAATCATGTCGTAGGACGAAAGGTCCGAATCGACACGGATGATTGGTTGTATACGTAGATTTGTGTAACGAGCATAGTGACCATGGGTATTTATTATACCCATGAGTAGTAATATTTTCTGTGTTTTATTTATTATTAATTAGGCTAGGTCTTCTTGCACATCGCGTTTTTTAAATATTATTAATTTTTCAAATTAATTATTCCTCTCGAAATTATATTAAATATTAAGTGTAAGAAGACACTTCGCGACAGACAGATTTTGAAATCAAAGCTAAAAATTTTTAATTTCTTTCACATTTTCGAAAATATGCTTTGATGGAGAAATCGTCTGAGGATATTAATTTTTAATTCTTAATCAATTATTTCAATGAATTGTATTCTAATCTTCTATTATATCTCTTTTTAATTAATAATTCTTTTTATAAAATATTTAATGAACAATTTATATCGATAAAAAGTAAAGTATAAAATTGAGTTTTAAAAATTTGAAATATCATGAAATCATAAGATTGAAATTCTTTAGCCCGTTAGATACAAAACATTATTAATCTATCTTTTTAGCTCAGGATTTTCAGGTTTAACCCCTTCCGTGTTCATTGCCTCGATCTCATTCACGTGCCCAGGTGCTACTTGGGTGAGAGAGAAGTAATGTGCACGATGATTTATTAATTTATTAATTTTTAACAGCGATTGACGATGAGTTAGTGATAGTGCACGACGTATTTTCCACATTGCGTGTGTGTGGTTAGGCTGTGGAATTGCGTCGTTACGATTATAAATTTATTCATAATTATCAATTTACAATAAAAATATTTAATATTGTTATTAAATAAAACACGCGGATTTTTCTATTATTTTTTTTTTTATTAAATAACGGTACCGAAATTCGTACCATTTATCTCAATAATTTCTTTCAAAGATAATACATAGAATTCATTGATCAAATTTTCGTAATTAAAATTGAAACGTAATATTTCATCGCGATTTATGCAATGATCACTAGCCATCGTCAATCGATTTCAGTTAAAAGGTACGTAAAGTTAGAGTGTGAAAGTAGTGTGCCAAGCTCGGGTGTCGGAGGTGTCCCGGGACGCTTTCCCTAGTGTAGGCTTTTGCGCCCGGGTATTATGCCTGAGAATCGTTGAATGAATGTGTTGGTATGCCTGTTTTGTCATTTTTTAAATATAGGGTTAGGTAGGATAGGTAGCATACTTTCTGGTGTGTATGTTAATTAATAAGTAGGTAGGGCCGGGCAGGTTGTCACAGTCTCTGGTCGGGTAGGCGCGTTTTCGCGTGACAATCTGTTTCTGGAAATCAAATTTGAAAAATCGAGAATGGAGCTGAGACTTTTCTTTCGATTTTTCGAATTTCGCGGTCGCGACCGTTGAGCTCGAGATTCTGCGCATGCGCGGACAATGGTCACTGCGATCGTTGGTCGTCCATACGCGTTCAGATTGTTTTTTCTTTTTCTTTTTTCTTTTTTTTCGTTTATTAGGAAATCTCGAGCCTAGTTGTAAGTTTCAGCGGGCATCGCGCCCGAAGAAAGAAGACCGAAGAGGCCCGACAAATTGTCACGAAGAGGGCTGCGACGAATGGCTTCTCATTTTTTGGATTTGTTTTGGGGTCCAAAGAATGGGAAGTCATTGTTACTACTTTGTCACTATGCTCGTTTTAATATGTAGTATTTGTTGTTGTGTTATCTGGCCGATTGCATGCAGGCCCACAGGATCCAATCATTATGGAAATCGTGATTTTTTTATTAGTGTTGCGATTGATTAATAACGTGTTGAATTAGAGTTGCGTTTAAAAATCTCGCGTTTTGAATTAGTGTTGCGTTGTAAAAAATATCGCGATTGCTTTCAATTATTATACTTATGAATTAGCCTATTTTTTTTATTTTTTTTTTTATTTTTTATTTTATTTCTGTTGAATTTATGATATAGCGATTATGATATCGAGTTGTTATTATCGAGTATATATGATATTTAAAGTAACTTTTCATTTATAGAATATTAAATTTTATATTAGATTTAGATTTTAAAAATTAGTGTCGCGTCGATAAATAATCGCGTTGCGTCGATAAATCGCATCAGTGCCATCTTTGGAATACCAAAGAAATATTTTTTTCAAAATAGTCAAGAGATGGCGCTCGTAGTCAATTTTTATCTCTTAAAAGATATCTTTGATACTCAAGAGATGGCGCTAATAGTCCATATTTATACTATTTTTTATCCTTCTCTTACTATTTTCTATCCTTTTTGGAAATACCAAAGAAATATCTCTTCAAAAGCGAAGAGATGGCGCTAACGGTACGTATTTACCTTATTTTTATACTTTTCTTATATTTTCTGTTTCTTTTATGTATATTTCATTTGCAATATTTCAAAGATGGTGTTAATTTTAATTTTTTACTTTATTTCTCTTTTCTTCTTCATCATTAGATGATGAACATATTTCATTAATTTTATATTTTTTTTTTGCCTAACCTATCGATTCAAAATCTTAACAAAGTTTATTCGGTCCAGTTTTTGCATGTTTTACGCATTATTTATTATATATGTTCACATTCCTATATATATCATGGAATTAACATACATATTTCAATAAATATCTCTTTTTAAAAGATATTTTAAAATATTTTAATGCACAGGTATGGCAAAAAAATATATACCCATTATATTTCGTATTACAACGTTCAATTCGCATCCTAATTCGATTTCTATAAAAATATCTATAGACAAATCGTCTCCCCGAGCATAACATTCAAAAATATTCAAAGACGTTTTAATCAAGCGAATAGAACGTGACGGATCCACGAGGATACTCGTGGATAACAAATTGATTATCCCTGAACCGTGACCCGTATTCGTAGAATATATTATTAAGCATAAGAATCGGACGCAACTTCCTACAACGAATATAACAGATGTATCACGCATGTGATCCCGTGTTTCGATTGATTCTCGTTACGTACGATTGCCATTCAATCAAACGATAATCAATCTATCCGACAAAGCCACTTTTAAAACTCACCATGCGTTGGCAATTTATCGAACCTTGAAATTGATCGATCAACTTCGTTGTTTCACATGGATTCACATCGAAGTGAAGAGTGAA